TATACACTATTTTTCCGGGAAGAGGTAAATTTGAGTCCCAACGTATATATGAAGTAGAGGTAGGCAAAATCGCATTTCCAGGGACCGTAACGAGATGAAGGTTGAAAAGATCGTCCGGGAGGGATCCCTTGTCGGGCGGGAGGGATTAATCCCGTTAATTCCAGAGTCCCGGTAATCCTGGGATTCAGGGACGGGATCCCGTAAAATTCCGCCCGGGATCCATCCCACACCAGAGATGTGCTGTTTCGCCTTTCTTCTTTCACCATATTTTCGCCTTTTTTGGACTTTCACCTTTCATGTTTCGTTTTTTAAAATCTGTTTCAACACACCCCTGTCCCGCACCGACCTTTAATATTAAGTACCTACAGACAAACTTGATTTATCGACGGCACTTCTCGATTTAAAATTTGTTTTTAAAATTATGGATTAAGTTAATTCTCATTATCCGGTACGATTTTGATGCCAAAGGGTGCATCCATGATTGACGCTAATTGGAAATTAAAAGTAAAAATTTTGCAAAAAAAAATTATTTTTGAAATTTATTTATTTTCTTTATTTGTTTCCGTTTTTGGAATACTCTCTTTTTCATTTAAAACAAGTTTTTGATGTTTTTTTTATTAAATTTTTAATAATTTCTTAATAATTTACTTAAATATTTGTCATACAAATATTTGTGTATAAGGTAATAAATTAAATATTATTTTTAAAATAACTTTTTCGCGTGTGCTTTGAACAAAATATTTTAATATTAAAAATTGATTCTCATTTTCTCACTTTTTTTTTGCAAGTTTTTCTCTTTTCTCTTTTACTTTTTCAAAAATTAAATTCTCACCTTTAACTTTTTAAAAAATAATTTTTTGACAATTTTGTTAAAAAATAAACAAAATTCCCATAAACTTTGGACATCTAAAAATCAAAAAATCATCATTGTTTTTACACGCTTTCTTCTTCCTCCTTTCTTCAATTGTTTAATATAATAATACTCATTTTATGACTAATCCCGGGAAACCCCAATTAAATCTTTATTTAAAAGCATTTTTATTTTTATTTATTTTAATTTCTTTTGCACATTTTAATTTTTAAAAATAAATTTAAAAAATATTTTTTATCACTTTTTGATCTTTGACATTTATTTTGCACCAGACAAGTGGTTGAAATTTAATTCCCAAAATTTTTTACAAATTAAAACAAATTTGATTAATTAAAAAGAATAAAGTTTATATTCTTTATTTAAACGAGAAAAAAGGCTCAAATTTAATTTGTATAGTCTGATCATTTTTATTATTAATACACACATTTAACTTTATTTGCTTTTAACCGAATAGACAATTCAACGAATTAAAAATTCTTATTAAATTTTATATTAAAAATTATCTTAAAATATTAAAATAACAACAATTGATACATATTTCTTTTAAACATTAGTCGTTTGCAGTATTTACTCGATTAATTACCTTCTACACCCTCCTCGGTTAATCATCCCTTCTAGCAAATTGCTGAGAATACGACCAGAGTAATTTAATCGAGTATGTACGGTACACATTTAATTATTAGGGTTGTTCCGCGACGGGGGGGGGGGGGAATGGGGGAAGGGCCACGGGGAAAATTTTTTATTTCAGCACGAGGGGAGGGGGGGGGGCGGGGAATTTTCAGAAAATCTCTCAAATTCCCCGAGTTACGGGGACCCTTCTAACAACAACCCTACTAATTATAACCCTTTATTCGATTTGAGTGATCTCTCACTGTCAAACAGAATATTTTCGGTGAACAGTCCATTCTTTTCATTTAACGTTCATGTATCTCTACATACTAAATAAAAATAATTTTTAAAAATTTATTTAGTCAATTAATTGACGCAATCATTTCAAAATTCTTTTATTATTTTCAAGATCTACTCTATTCATTGGCAATTATTTTTAATAGAAAAAAAAGAAAAGATTTCTTTTAAGATTTTCTTTTAATATTTATTTTTATTTCTTTTGTTAATTCTCTTTGTTTGTGTAAATCCCTCCCAACTATTTTTCAACTTTAAGCTCTTGAGACGTGAAAAGTTAGGGGGAATATAAAGCAAAAAATGCGCGAGATTGCTTTAACAATCATTAAAGCAATCGATGGATTGCCCTGATTTATTTTAAGATTTTTTGGCCTAAAAAGCCGAAAAAAATGTATTGGAAAGGATTTTAAAAATAATTTTTTTTTCTAAAAATGTTGTTATGAGTGATGTCTCTTCATAACAAAGGAGCTAATTGTTTGAGTGAAAGAGACGGCTCGATCAGTTTTTTGCTATGATGTAGACTTTGGGGTTCTATTGTAAGCTTTCTTTCATAGCTTTCGGATACCAAATGGAGCCAAGTATTGGAAGCCATGTATTCCAAATGGAGCCAAGACAATTCTAATAAGTAGAATTATAATTTTTAATTTGTTTCTTAATTTTTTAAATTTCTAATTCTAACTTCTACTTTTCTAATCTTATCAAAAAAATTAGTTTGTCGAGTGTACCCAAAAAGGTACACTTTGTAAGGTCAAAATTATTCATTTTTCTCGTGGAAAAATTGTTGAATCGGAAGCACTCTTCTTAACGCTCATGTTTTCGTCATCCTTATTTTCCTTCAATTTTCACATTTTTAAAATGATTCAATTTATTTCAATTTTTAATAATGTGTCTATTTTTAATAATAAAAAAACCTTTTAACATTAATTCAGATAATTATTTTATTTTTTCTTTGTTAATTAACTTTCGTAATTTTTTTTCAATTTCTATAATAATTCAACTAATCAACAAATAAACTAATTTAATTAAATATAAAATGACCATTACTTACTCCCTCGACGTAGGTATTGTGTTTAATTTAAGTTAATAAATAAATAAACTTTTTATTAATTAAAAATTAGCTTCTTCCACACTTTTGGGCTTTCATCGCCTTTTGTTGCGGTGGAAAGGTTGTTAATTAGGAAATTAAAGGAAAAAATTAAAAATTAAAAGGAAGTATTTGGAAAAGTATTTGGCCAGAATTAACTTGTTGGTTGTGTATTTATTTTAGTTTATCTATTTGGTATAGATATACCGTATTTCCTAAAATAGTACTCCCCCCTGAATTAGTACTCCCCCCTTAAATAATACTCCCCTTTGGAGGAGGGTTGAAAAATAGTACTCCCCCCTTAAATAGTACTCCCCCTAAAATAGTACTCCCCCCTAAAATATTTTTCCCCTATATTTGAAAAAAATCATAAAAGAAACATTGAATTATTCTATTGAGATTTACTTATTGAATTATTTTATTTATTCTGATTAGGGTTGTCGGTTTCACTTGATTCTTCGATAACCGAAACCGGACAGTTTTCGCTTACCGAAAACGAACTGAAATTTTAACCTATAATATGTTCTGGATTGATCAAGTGGGGTCTAAAAGTTCCAATTCCCCTAGTTCATCTCTAACTAGATCAAGTAGTATGGTTTGATAAAGGAATTTGAGAGAAAAATGAAGGATGAGTGTTCGGGACGCACTCATTCCCGAGCGTTCGGGACGAAACCCTACTTGTTATCACGCCTAAATATGGATATCCTAGAATTCGTAAGGATATTCGAAGAAAAAGAGATGTGGAGGATAACGGTGATTAATGCTGATAAATCCCTGGACACAGCGATTAGGTACATCAATTTCTCAGTGACATTGAATAATATCGGCGGATATATGCGGATTCGTAAGATTATGAGTCTGAAAAGATTAAGGGGGATATCAGTGTTTTTGAAGGATATCTAGGGAATTTGACACATACAAGTGTATTAACTGGTCGGGAGTTCAAGATGGATATAGTGGTAAATTTAGATATCTACCCTTAATCGATTAAATCCCATTATACTCCTCAATATCACTCCAAATTAACTAATATCCTTCTTGATTTTCCTCAATACCCCTTATTTTATGTCACTTGTGTTTAAATGTCCCGAAATTTGCTCAATTTTATAATAATTTGAATATTTTTTGAGAGCTTTTAATAATTAAATTTTTTGAAAATCCGGGTCGGATCAGGCATTTTTCAGATAACGAACTCAAATTGATTTAGAATTTTGAAATAAATTTTCTTATGATAAATGAAAAAAGGGTTGAAAAATAGTACTCCCCCCTGAATTAGTACTCCCCCCTTAAATAGTACTCCCCTTTGGAGGAGGGTTGAAAAATAGTACTCCCGGGAGTACTATTTTAGGAAATACGGTATAATGAGTAAACAACAACAAATGTGAGGAAATATTTAAAGGAAAAAATTATTATTTTAAATTTTTAATTTTTAGCCTTTTTGAAGATATTTGTATTTTCTTCAATACATATTCTGATTACATTGTAATTATTTTAATTTTAAAAAATATTTAAATGTTTAGACCAGGGAACGCGCCGACAGAAAATCAAATTCCCGATTTTCGGGAATCGTGAATCGGGTCGGCGCGATCCCTGGTTCAGAGATTAAATCTCTAAAAGTTAATATTTTGAAGGGATACTCAAGCAATTTAAAGATACATTATTTTCTCTCAAAAGAAAATGAAAAGGGGAAAAATTTAAAAAGATCTGAGAAGCTAAATTTTACAAGTAAAAAATCAAAAAAAACTCTAAATCTGTCCATTTGGTAGTGCGAAACTTGCGGACCGACTTTTGCGGACCATAGGTTTAGGTTTTTGTTTTTCTATCGTAACTTTGTCCAAGCTTGTATAATCACGCTGATTTTGATGTCATTCGACTCAGCTCGTCGAGTCGAATGAGCTATGTTTTGAGAAATTCGTCGGTTCCGCAAGTTTCGGCCTGCCGTCCATTTTACTTAAAATAAATTTATACCCTTAAAACCACAAATTACCTTTACCTATATTTCTTTTAGGGCCCTTATCTCCAATTTATCCCACATTCGCTCATTTTGAGTTTTCACAAATTTTGAAGTTTTTGTGGATATCAAAAAAAATATTTAGAAAAATATTTAATATTTAATTTTATTTTTTAAAGCCAATAACGTTTATGCTCGGCTTTTATGTCTCAGCTGTTTTCACTCGTTGGGGCGAAATTTTTATGAATTTGGGGTGGATAGATTCGTATGTTTTTTTTAAATTTATTAGAAAATTTATTTATCTGTGTTCACTCATTTATTTTTAAATTTTCTCAAGCTCAGACCAGCAATTTTACTTGCCACAATTGTAAGAGGTACAAGTGAGGAAGCGAGGAATATTCGAAGAAATATTATTAGATATTTAGTTAAATTTAAATTAAAATAATTAAATTAATCTTTTCTTTTAAAATTAGGTATTAGTCCAAGCAATGGTTTATAGAGATATTAGTGCTTGTGTCAAAAAACGATTTCCAACAATGGATCATTTAGGTAGTTTATATTTTTAAAGGGAGATTTTTAGAAAAGATTAATTGTAAGGATGATTCACCTAGAGCATTTAAAACGCTTAGGCGCGGGTTAAACGGTCTAAAAAGGTAGAGCTCCTGTATATGGTGAGCGAAAGTGTCTAGCTATAACTACTAGGGTGTCGCAGGTTTAATCCTGCCCGGTGGCTAAACTTTTACTAAACTTTCCTTAATTTGGATATCTTGGAACAGCTAATTTTCAAAAATAAATTCCGGAACTTTTTTTAAAATATTTTTTCAATATTTCTTTATTTTTAATTAATATTTCCGATTCTTTTCTGTAAAGAAAATAAATATTTTTAAAGTTACTGCTGGAATAATGACATCAAATGAATTGCGTGAATTTGATGCAATTGAGACTGAACATATAAAGTAGTTTTAATAATTAAAAATAAATTCATTAAAGTTATTAAAGATATTGGACACCAATCCAATGGGCATTTCTTCTTTTAAGAAGAGCTAGAGATCAAGGACTTGTTGATAGCGATATTATTTATGTGGTAAGGAATTTTAAAATTAAAACTCAAAAATTTTTTGTAATCTGCTAAAGAAAGTTTTTTCGTGAACTAACAAAATTTTCTAAAAAAAATTTAATCGTCAATTCTTTCATCTTCTAATTTTTTCTCCTTCCAATAACAATTCTTCCCTTTTGTTATTATAGGGGGCCCTTTTCCGCTTTAATAAGGGAACCTTTTCTAAACTGCGTGGGCCCTTCTCTAAACTAAAGTTTTATCTGTCAGGGTATCCAATCAAACACTGACTCTTGCTTATTTTATTAGCAGCCTTCCTTAAAGGTCAATTTCCTTGTTTTAACTTTTTCTTTTTTTGTTTATTATTAGTTACCGAAAAAATAAAAAATATTTTTTACCTAATTTATTTTTATTTTTTAAAGGATATGTTAGAAAAAATCCGCCAATATCGCGTAAATGTTTTAACACTTACTCTTTATGATTGGGTACCCATTCCTTTGGTAAATATTTTTTATAGAAAATTTTAAAAATAATTTAGGTATATACACAAGTTGTTAATTTAGCTGTTCGTTCCTATTTTTTAATTGCTTTATTTGGAAGGCAATATTTAATTGGGGAAAGAAAAGAAAAAACTGTAAAAATAAAAATAAATAAATTTTATATTAAAAATTAAAATTTATTTAGATAGATTTATTTATACCTTTAATGAGTATTATGCAATTCCTTTTTTATATGGGTTGGATTAAAGTTGCTGAAGTTTTATTAAATCCTTTGGGTAATTAATTATTTATTTTTTAAAATTAGTAAATTGTTAATTTTTAAATTTATTTAAATTTGGCTTTATCTTTTGAGTTTTGCCTATTTTTGAAAGCACAAAAATATAGTAGTTTATGATTCTTCAAAATTTAGTAATAATATCTTTCTAGAGCTAAGAATTAATTTGATTCAAGGACGTTTTGCCAATCATATTTTCCCAAAAAGACAGATTTTTTAGAAAATATGTATGATTAGTAGGATTGTAGTTTCTAATACATATGCATTTCTAAGAAGAAACGAAAAATCCTCGGTTTTTCAGTTCAGTTAGATAAAGAGAAAAAAATTAAAGTAAAAAGGGTCAAGGACAAAAAAACTCTAATCATGAGTTTAGAAAAAATTTTTATTTCGAATAATTATAAGTTTAACGCTTCTCTTATTTTTTCATTATTTTTTTATCTCTCCAATTATTTTACAAAAAAATAATTATTTCGGGTAATTATTTTAAATTATTTATAAAGGTGAGGATGATGATGATTTTGAAACAAATTGGATTATTGACAGAAATTTACAAGTTGGTCTGTGTATTGTGGATGATTGCTATGGAAGAGTTCCTGGATTAGAAAAAGATCAATTTTGGGAACAGAGTAATCCACAATTACTTTACACAGCAGAAAGTGCTTCTAGACCCCAAAATCCAATGATTGGTTCTTGTAATGATTCGTATGTTTTCTTGTCTTTAAATTGGGGAAAAATTATTTAGAGTCGAACCTCTGATGTATACACTCGCTCGGCATTTCTTTCGCTTATTTACCGTATTTCCTAAAATAGTACTCCCGGGAGTACTATTTTTCAACCCTCCTCCAAAGGGGAGTACTATTTAAGGGGGGAGTACTAATTCAGGGGGGAGTACTATTTTTCAACCCTTTTTTCATTTATCATAAGAAAATTTATTTCAAAATTCTAAATCAATTTGAGTTCGTTATCTGAAAAATGCCTGATCCGACCCGGATTTTCAAAAAATTTAATTATTAAAAGCTCTCAAAAAATATTCAAATTATTATAAAATTGAGCAAATTTCGGGACATTTAAACACAAGTGACATAAAATAAGGGGTATTGAGGAAAATCAAGAAGGATATTAGTTAATTTGGAGTGATATTGAGGAGTATAATGGGATTTAATCGATTAAGGGTAGATATCTAAATTTACCACTATATCCATCTTGAACTCCCGACCAGTTAATACACTTGTATGTGTCAAATTCCCTAGATATCCTTCAAAAACACTGATATCCCCCTTAATCTTTTCAGACTCATAATCTTACGAATCCGCATATATCCGCCGATATTATTCAATGTCACTGAGAAATTGATGTACCTAATCGCTGTGTCCAGGGATTTATCAGCATTAATCACCGTTATCCTCCACATCTCTTTTTCTTCGAATATCCTTACGAATTCTAGGATATCCATATTTAGGCGTGATAACAAGTAGGGTTTCGTCCCGAACGCTCGGGAATGAGTGCGTCCCGAACACTCATCCTTCATTTTTCTCTCAAATTCCTTTATCAAACCATACTACTTGATCTAGTTAGAGATGAACTAGGGGAATTGGAACTTTTAGACCCCACTTGATCAATCCAGAACATATTATAGGTTAAAATTTCAGTTCGTTTTCGGTAAGCGAAAACTGTCCGGTTTCGGTTATCGAAGAATCAAGTGAAACCGACAACCCTAATCAGAATAAATAAAATAATTCAATAAGTAAATCTCAATAGAATAATTCAATGTTTCTTTTATGATTTTTTTCAAATATAGGGGAAAAATATTTTAGGGGGGAGTACTATTTTAGGGGGAGTACTATTTAAGGGGGGAGTACTATTTTTCAACCCTCCTCCAAAGGGGAGTATTATTTAAGGGGGGAGTACTAATTCAGGGGGGAGTACTATTTTAGGAAATACGGTATTCGATTTTTTAAAATTTGGTTAAGGAGCTGGGATGAAAATAATGTCCCTAATTATGTGTTCCCTTCACTGGAGCACCCTATTCTTCCGACTCCAAGGATGATGACATAAAAAAGATTCGGCTGTAATTAAAAAGAAATTCCAATACTCCATTAAATTCTTAATAAAAAATTAACAAAAAAATATTTAGAAATCAACAGGAAGACATGCTTTTATTACAACCACGCCGTCGTAGACTTATGTCAACTGCAACTGGGCCAGAAATGTCTGGAGGGGCACATTCAAATAAAGCCTTTCATTTTGATGAATTTTATAGAGATAAGGCCCCTGTAGTTTCTGATGATGATGATGAGAATAATAATAATATTGTTCCAGTATATAATCACAATCCAAGTAGAAGAATGAGGTGAATAAAAATTGAATAAAAAAATATTTTTAATTAATTAAGTGTTGTTTATAATGATGGAGGAGGGCCTACACGTATTTTGGATAGTATTAAACGAAAATTTTCTCGAGCAGCTCCAACGGGTGGTAGTCGAAGTGGAGAACATGATTTTGAAAAATCTTTTGAAAGAACTCAAAGGCAGGGATTTTAATTTAAAATTTATTAGTTAAAATACTCTTATAGAAATTAATTCACTAAAAAACAAATTTAAATCTTCCCCTTACAATATCGAATTTTGTAAATTAATTTTATGTAAGTGATAGGGTTCAGTTGGAAGTTTTAGTTCCGACTGATATGGAATTTTTTGGCTGATATATAGATCAGGGCCGGATTTTCTTCCTTCTTCCGCTTTCGTTTTCCGTTTTTAATTTTCTTCCTTTTCTTCTGCCTTCCGTCTTCCGTTTTTTAAAATTCAAAATTCTCCAGCCTTGATGTAGATCCTTTAGTTTCGGTTAAACTTAAACTCCTTTACACACCTTAATATTTCTTTGCCACAAAAGTATTTTATCCTTTAAACAAAAGTATTTACATTTCAATATTTATTTTTCAGAAATTCAACAAAATCAACAATTTCAAATTCTGATATTCCCGTTCAAAATTTTCTTTGGGGTGCTAGTCAACTAAAGGATGAAATTAATGAAAATAAAGATCAACAACCAAAACAAAACGAAGGAAAACAAAAAACAGAATTTTCAGAAAATTCAAATCCAAATTTAAATATTAAACATTCATCCCCACCAATATCCCCAACAAAATCCCCTTCATTACCTCCATTATCTACACAACAAATAAATAACGAAAATAACGGCAATTGTTTAACTCAATTGCCAGCAATTCAAGAAGAAGAAAGTTGTGGAGGGGAAGGAATTAATAGTCAAAGTAGTTTGTCTATAGATTCTGTATCCAGTACAAATTCGAGTTCATTAGTACAAATTGAAGAACTTAAGAAAAATTCTTCTGGTAATGAAGAAAGTAAAAATTAAAGGAAAAACAAATTTTCTTTCAAATTTTTCTTTAAATTTTTGAATAAATAATTGAAGTATTTTTTGTTTATTTTAAATAAGAATCAGCATTTATGTACCATTTAAAATCATTTAAAAGAATAATCAGTAAGAGCGAGGCAAAAGTTTAATCCCGGGCAGGCTTCGATCCTGCGACCTCTTGGCAGTTATTGCTAGGCGCTTTCGCTCACCACGTACAGGTGCTCAACCAACGGAACTATTGGGACATTGTTTTCACCCTATTTTTTAATGGATCTTTCTCCTTAAATCTTTAAAAAAAGAATTTTTTATAAACTTTCTCCTCACATTTCTATTAGTCAGAAATTGTCAACAAAAGAGCCCACAATCGTTAAACCTTTAGAAAAATCATGAATTCCCTTAAATTTTAAATTCTCAATAAAATTTGAAATATTTCGTTACAACATACAATCTGTGATACTATAAAAGCACCCTGTTATTTTCTTAATCAAAACTCTTCAAAATCAACCATCAATCATCAACAAATCTTCAATCTATTGGCCTTGCGAGTGCTCTCAACAGGACCTAACAACAACAAATGCTTCTCTTCAAACACGGACGGAATCGGGCTGCCGCGTTCGGGATGCTGCGGGAACGGCTTCTGCTGGTTTGTTGGCTTCTCTCTGCTATGGCGCTCATCCATCAAGTTGCTGGCGATGATCCTCCTCAACCTCCTCCTGTTGCTGCTTCTGCTGGTAACACTGTTGGCTTTGGACGTCACACAAAATCAGGCGAGAAGGTCAAGTTGTCAAGCGACGATTGGAGTGCAGCAGCTAGCACTGATGATCTGAAGGCGTACAAGGATGCTGGTGCCCTGAACCCATGTGATGACATCGAATACGAAAAGGAAACCGGGGACATGTGAGAGCTTTTTTTCTTTTTACAAATTAAAATTTACATCAATAAAATTGTTTTTATTTCAGCATTGTCAAGTACAGGAAGGATGGGAGAACCAAATCTAAGGGATGCATGGTGGATCTGCTTACGAAGCACACAACATCAGTCGACTTCATCATTGGAATCAAGAACGGCAACGGCTTGGAACATTGCTTGGATCCGACGACGACATATAAAACCAACTGCCGCTTGCCTTGGCCTATTCGTACTTGCGACAAAGCAACAGAGTATCTGTTTGACAGCTACGCAAACACGTTCGTTTTTGCAATATTTTATGTTCGTTTAATCTTTTTAATTTCTTCTCAGGTTGCCATTCATCTACAGTCGTACTGTCGCGGAGTTCCAGTCGATGCGTAACTTTGAACCGGCTACTGGTGATGGCTGCCCTGGGTCTTGTTGGGGTAATGTGGTCTGCAGGAAATGGACTGGTCTTGCTGCTGGATTTGCCAAAAATGGTGGCAAAGTTGCGAGAACAGTTGTTGGAAGTGAGTTTATTTTTGTTAATCTAAATCTTTGCTTAAAATCCTTTTTTAGTTGGTAATCCCGGTGGTTCAGGCTGTACCTTGGCAGCTGAGAGTGCGGGGAATGATGCCAACTACAAGATGACCGTCGACAATGGAAATATGCATTGGTTCGCAACAGAAGGCTGCGCTGGGAGTGATGAAGGGGGGTTTCCAAGAGACGCTCAATGCGTCAACAAGAATAGCATGGCACAAGAACTGGGCGAAAAAATCACCTGGGAGATTGAGTCCCCTCAGCCTGATTCTGACTTCAAACAGCTGTTCACCTTCGCCTTGCTTCCCAATACAGCAACCAAAGCCCACAGCAGGCAGCACAACCAGCTTTATGGTGAAGTTGGTGGACCGAAATGTGACGAGCTCTACGTCAAATTTGTAAGATTTCATTATTCTTTTTTGATTACTCGTTTTCAATTCTAAATTTCTCTTTAATTTTCAGCCAGGCAGTTCATTCAAGCTGTTGGTGCCCAAAAGTGGTGCTCCTACGATCGTTGAAACTCTTGCACCACCACCAGAGCTTGTGTCGGAAACTCCACCGCCAGTACTTGCGCCGACCGAAGATGGTGGAGGAGGTATGGTCGTCGTCATCATAATTGTCATCGTCTTGATTGTGTGAGTTTTTTGCTTTTTTCAAAATAATCATTTACTCAACTAAATTCCCTAAATTTATTTTCAGTGCTGTGGTTGGCGGTGTTCTCGTCTTCTTCTTCGTCATCAAGAAGAGTGAGCCCGATGCAGTTGAGGAAGACTATTTCGGCACATCGAAGGCTGGTGGAACGACAAAGACCAAAGCTGGAACAACGGTTGGGGCAACTCAGGCAAAGACTGGAGGGCTGACAACGGTTGGGACCAAAGCTGGGACAACTGCTGGGGGAACTGCAAAGACGGCCGCTGCGGCAACCAAGGCTGGGACGACTGTTGGTGGAAAGACTGCTGGTGGGAAGACTGCTGGTGGCGGGACGACGAAGAAGTGAGAAGAGAAGAATGATTGGACGTTGTGATGATTGAAGAATATGTCCAAATAAATAAATAAATATTTCTTTCTCCCTCCCCTCTCTATAGGCATTTCCCCCTTCTAATAATGAGCATCTCTCTAATAATTATTGTTGTGATCCACTTTTCTTCTATTCCCTATATATGTGGCACAACTATATATTTCCTATAATGCTATATATCGATGCTCTTGTATGTTGTACCTATATTTGTGTGTGTTCTCAACATATATATTATTGTTGCTGTTGATGTATTGTATATATTATAAATGTTGTAAATAAATGTTGGATATTGTAATTGAGTTTTGGATTGAATTAACTATGAGTTTTTTTAAGAAATAGGCTTAGGTTAATAAAAATTACAAGTTAGGAAAAGCTTACCATAGGAGAAATTGTATGTGATAAAGTATAACTTCCCCATTATATCTGTTGAAAAATATGCTAGATTCAACCTTTGTCCTTTGCTTTTGAAATACCCAACTCATTAAATCTAAAATTTTGAAATCCGACAACGAATCCCTTTGATTGGTGTGAAATTTTAGTTTAATTTACAAATTTTGTCAAGCAACCAAGAAACTTCATATTTGCTGTATAAGTTATTCTAGTGGTAAGAAATGCCGTAATGGAAATTAAAAATGAGATTTTGATTTATAAAATGATTGAATATGTGGAATAATTATGAAATTGCAAATTAAATTGTCATATGTCGTTTGGTTTTTAAGACAATGTTGGTCTATTAGCTATTGTCGTTATAATAAAGAATGTCTTTATTTTAGAGTTTTTCCCTTATTTTTTTCCTTATACAGTAACCTCAACAAAAATTCCCAATTCTTTACTTAATTTCTCCTCAACAATTTATTTTTGCCTTTAATTAGCCCTAAAACTAAATTAAGTGAATAACAAAAAAATTAAAAGAAAAATTTTGTTAAAAACTAAAAAAGGCATAAAATTGTTATTTTTACATTAAAAAAGAATTGTGTGTGTGTATTGTGTCAATCAAATGAGCTGTCAATCAAAACAAAATCTGTGGAGAACCTCTGTAAGTACTTTATACATAATTTACCTCAAACATTTATTTCCCTCAATTAATTTTTATTAGCATTTGAGTCTTTAACAATAAATTTAATAATAAAAAGATTAAATATGTAAATTAATTTATTAAAAAAGAAAACAAAGCTTGTTAGCCTGTATTTTAATTAATTGTCAAATTATCATTGTTGTTGATAAAAATTTTGATTTATTAGAAAGAGAATAGTATAATCTATCATTCAAAAAAGAAATATACTCCTAGATTAAAGACATTACGAGGTATATTTTAAGTAAAAGAATATTATCAGGTGTGCAAATGTTCCTTAAAAAAGGAACATTTATTTAAGGAGCAATTTTATTTACCTTTTACAGTAAATATTTATACAAAAATTAACAATAAAATTAAATTTCTTGGAGGTTTTGTTAAGAATAAAATTCCGGATTCCCTCCCATTAAAAATAAACCCCATAACATGTCATTGTTTCAAATTTTTGGTTCTACCTAAATTATTTTTTGAATTTAACTGGCTATACTAAATATTTTTTTCCAGACTTTAATTGTTTACCTCAACCACCATCATCAATTCATTTATACCCCCAATTTCGTCTTTAATTTTTTCCCTCCCACACATATTTATTGGTTGTTTGTATTGTTGAGGGATGACAGTTTTGACACGCATTTTAATTGTTATATATTTTAGTTAATGCGGGAAAAGATTGAAAGAAGAGAAAAAAATAAATAAAGTAACAATTAACGCTAAAAAGCGTGTTTTCCCCCTCTTTTTTAAGATGGCAATTTCTATAAATATTTTTAATTCGTTATTCTCTTTTTTTGTTTTTAAATTTTTATTTGGAATTTAGTAAATATTTAAAGAGTTTTTTGTCGGAAATTTGTTTAATTGTCTCTTTCCAACAATATATACTGTATTACTTTACCAAATAACAAAACTGTTACAATAACATCCACTATTGGAATGTTATTGTTAATTAATTATTAATGGCACCCAAATTTCATAGCATTTATAAGTTCAGAAAACATCATCGGAAATTAGAATACCTGTTTATTTAGAATTTTTATTTTCTTTTAAATAAAACTAAAATCAGAAAATCAACCTCAAAGTTTTGAGAATGGAATAGGTTTCTAAAGGCTGTGAAATTTTTAACCGAACCGCTACTGTCAGAAACATGAAAAATAAACCGAAAAGCACTCTTTGTTAAAATACTGAAGACGGAACGGAAGACCTAAAAAAGAACAAAGTAGGCGGAAGCGGAAGAAAATACATCTTGTACTTGAATTAAATTTTTATTAATTTTATAAAATTAAAGGAAAATAAAATGATTGAAACAATGGATTTAAATCAAAATCAAAAACAATTATTATTAAATTCAAATAATTTAAAAGAATCTCTTTCTTCCTTAAAAACTTCAAAATTTAAAAATAATTATTATAATAAATTAAATAAAAATAATTCTGATTTAAATAATAAACTTAGAAGAAATCGGACAACATTTACAACTAGACAAGTTTGTTATTTAAATTTAAACAGAAAAATATTTTTTAATTTAAAAGTTGCACGAATTAGAATTATCTTTTGAGGCAGGTCATTATCCTGATGTTTTTGCTCGTGAACAGTTTTGTATTTTTAATAAAAACTTGGGGATTTTTTAAAAATTTGTAAATAAAAAAATGGGGGAATGTATGAAATCTTTCTTGCTTTACATCCTCCTTTTGATTCATGGATCCGAATTAAGGAAGCTTTTCAAAGTTTAAAATAATTTGCTCAAATCTTTTTTTGAAACCTATTTTCTAGTTTTATTATCTAATTATTTTTGTCATTATTTTACAATATTTAATCATTTATACTTTTACTTTGGCGTTTTTATAATTAAAAAATTCTGTCTCTAATTAATCTCCAAAATAATTTCCGTTATCTCTAATTTAAATTAACTTTAATAAAAGAGTGTGGGCTTTATTAAATAATTATATCCATTAAAATAAAAATTAATAAGACTCCCAAAATAATTAAATTTCATTTTTTACTAGACTTTCAAAAAAGATACAATTACCAGAAGTTAGAATTCAGGTTTAAAAAAATTTTAAGAAAATTAAAAAATAAATATTTTTATATATTAAAGGTTTGGTTTCAAAATCGAAGAGCAAAATGGTAAGAAAAGTGATATTAATTTATACGGACCTCTATTTTACATAAACTCAAAATTAAATACCGAATAACCTCACATCAATTGCCCTTCCTCGATTAATATTCTCCTCTGGCGAGAAGAGAATAATTACCCAGATAATTAAATGTAGTACTGGAGAGGAGGTGATTCTAAGCAATACCTTCATTTTAAATAACCTCATTTTGTAAGACAGCGATTGTTTCAGCCCCTAAATTTGTGTAAAATTGAGATTAGATTTCATTTAATTTCTCAATTTAAAAAAAGGAGAAGACAAGAAAAGCAAGAATTAAATAATTTAAAATCATTTAAACTACCAAATACAAATTTAAATAATTTATTTCCAACAACAGAAAATAAAGAAATAAACAAAAATAATTTAATTAAATTAATTGGAAATAATAACGAATTAGTAAATTTTAATATTGAAGAAATAAATAATGAAATAAAAACTAATAATAATTATTGGAATAATTTTTCTGCTGCTTGGTTTGTTTATTTATTTTTGATAAAATTATTTTAATAATTACTTCTTTAAGAAATGTTTTAAGTAAATAAAATTAAAATTCTAAAAATGAAGTATGAATAAAAAAAGTGAAATTTATGCTACGTTTAAATTAGGATAGATCCCGAGCCTTCGGGGACAGGAGTGTCGGATTTCGGGGGTTGCCGGGGTAGAGTCTTTGGTGTTCGGGTTGGGGTTTCGTGGGACGGGGTGCTACCCTAGTTTAAATAAAAGTCACTTTGCGTCTTGCAACAAAAAATATTCAAAAGATGGGAAGATAAAATCATTTGCAGACTTTTCTCTCATATTTCCAATTTTTCTGTTTCAAAACTTGCTTAATTTTTGAGTAAGCATTTTAGTAGTTATTAAAATGATTTTAAAATATTCTAAAAATTAATCAGAGCTGACCTCATAGAATTTTAAACCCTTAATTACAACTCTCAATCAGTGTTTGGAATTTTGAAAATTGCTCGTACTCGTACTAGTACGAATTTTGGTACGAGCTTCCGAACACTGCTCCCAATTACAACCTACCCAAATTTTTCCAAATTAATTTCTGTCTGGTCTAGTTTAAAAAAATATTTCTCTGTTACCCAATTTTATTTTTTTTCTTTTCTCAGTTTGTCAACATCCTCATCAGATAATCAACAATTAATATTTCCAAACAGCAATATATTCCAAACAACAACAGATTTATTCCCCTCTTTATTTTATAATAATTCTTCTGATTTATTTAATTCTGATTTTTCTTCTTTTTCTTCTTCAGCTTTTTATTTTCCCTATTATTATTATTTTAATTTAGCTACAACATTTCCACAAAATGAATTAAATTATAATGAACAATTAAATAATTAAAAAATAAATAAATATATGTAATTTTTTGGATAACATTAATTTTAAATAATTATTTTTTTGTCTATAAATCAACAAGAATTTTGAAAAAAATTTATGATAATTTTAACAAAGGTATTTTATTATTATTTCCTTTCTTGAAGCTATTGTTGTCATGTCCGGATTCTATTCATAAATTAGGATGTCTCCATTAGTGTTTCACCGGAACCGGATCCAATTTGAGTTCCGTATCCCGAACCAAAAAACTCCGGCTTTCTGGAACCGAAACTTCCGTTTAACTAACTCTTCATCCTCTATTTTAAAATTTATCAGAAAATTCTTGTCAAATTTAGATTATATAGATTAAGAAAGAATTTTTTAAAATTATACTATATTTTTTTTAAATAAATAAAAATATATAAATTAATTTTAATAATTTAAAAATAAAAATATAAATTATCTAAAAAAGTTAAAAATATTTTTTAAATTCAATAAATCCTCCTCAAATTTGACATTCAATAGTACAACTTAATGTACATAACCGTTTAACGCGTAAATCTGTACACAATCCATGCATTCTCCACCATTTACAATAAACAGAATTATCATAACTTTATTTAAAAAAATATAGTTTTTTTAATTAAAAAAAAACACGCACCATTTAATAAGTCTCGGTGTAGGTGGAGGTAATTCTGTTTAAAAACAAAAAAAATAAATTTCAATGCTTTTAAATCTTGTAAAGTTTAAGATAAGCTGGAAGTGTCGTTCGAAAATCGAGTTAGAAATCTTTAAAAAATAACGATCCGAATTTTTGTTTTGGAGTTTTTGTCTAGGTCCGAGCTCGTTTAAAAGTAGAGTTCGGCTCGATACGATTTTTTGATATTTTTATATCATTGAATATCGACCGACCCCTTCTTTAGTTTAAAATTAAATATTATTTAATTTTTTACCCCAAGAAAATACAGTAAAAAGCCAATTTTTCGATAATAAAATTTCATTAGGCCTTAAAGGTTTATTTTTGGGAAACATTAAATTAATTAATTTTTCTTCTAAAAATATTCTTATTTAGCCTACCTTTATTTTCTTTTTCTTCATTTTCCTCAATATCTTCCTCCCCTTCTTCTTCACTATTTTGTTCTCTACTTTTTCGAGTTTTTTCAGGTAATTCATCTTCAACATCTTCCTCCTCTTCTTCTTCCGAAGATTTTCCCTTTGGAGGAAATGTTAATAAAGTTTCCCAACTATTTCTTTTTTTAAAAAATTATTTAAAAATTTCTTCTTCAAAAAAACCTTTTACTACTTCCACTACTCTTTCCCCCTCTTCCACCTGTACATATTTTTACATTAACAATAGTTTTTCTTATTCCTCCTCTATTATTTTTTGATCTAATTTTGTTTCTACTTTCTATTGATGCCCAAGGAATTAAATTCTCTAATTTATTTGAAATTGTATTTCGAATTGAGGAAGAATTTAATGAAGAGGAGGGAACTGATATTGTAGTTATTGTTGAGGTTGTTGGAGGAGAAGGAGGTGATGTATTTCTTTAAAATAAATTTATTTTCCCCAAAAATAAAGATTAAAATTTCTATTGGTGTATTTAAAGTAGAGATCGGACCAAGACGAGATCTCGAAAAAAATTTTGGTTATCGAGATTCAGATTTTTCGAGATCTCGATTCTCTTATAACCCTCCCAGTCCAGGTCCCTAATTTAAAGTAATCACTATTCTCATTAGAGCTTGGATAATTTATGTTTGATATAATTTTTAGTTCAATTTTGGTGAAAATACATGTTTAAAAAATCAGAAAAAATTATTTTAAATTTGTAATATTTTATGGAAAATTATTTTAAATTGTATTGAGGGTTACTAATTTTTGAGGGGTTATTATGCAATATTTCTTTTGTTAAAATTTAAAATTAAATTTCCCCTGCCCACCCACTTTGAAGTCATTAAAGTAGTCGGTGTTGTTGTTTCTGTTGTAGTATTAACTATTAAAGTTTGATTAGTCGGTACCTCAGTAGTTGTGGGGGTTGTTGTTTTTTTGGTTGGTTTGGAAGGGGAATTTTTGTTGTTTTTTCTATTTAATTAATTAATTAATTTTAATTTAAAAAATTAATTAATTTTTTTCCCAACCTACGAGTTGTTTTTATTGTTGTTTTTAATGTTGAAGTATTCGAAGAAGTTTTAATTGATGGAGTAGTAGGGATTGTTTGTGTTGTAGATGTACTACAATGTTCATTTCCTTCAATTTCAGTTGAAGAAGTAATTCCTTTAAAAAATTCTTTCTAAATTTTATTTTCACAATTTCTCGAATTACCCATTAAATTCCTCCCTCTACTTGTTTCAATAGGAGGGAGAGGTGCATATCTTTCCAACATTTTATCGGCCACTATTTTAATTGCCTCCCAAGTTTCGTCAGCGGTGTCCATAATTTCTGCTTCGGGTAATAAAAAGCCGGTACTGTGAAGGGTGTTTTGAGGCCTCAATTCGACAAGAAAAGAAAAAGGAATATTTAGAACACCTTTGGCATAATCGTGGGATGAACCAGAAGCTTCGTCTTTTTTTAAATTTAAAAAATAAATTAAAAATATTGAAGGACATAATTTCAAAAATAATTTTAAATTTTTAAAAAAGTAATTAAAAATATTTTTTAATGTACAAGTGGAAAGTTAAAAAAATTTATTTATTCTAATCAGAAAAAATATTTATTTTGTTAACCAAAATTATTAAATTAAATATTTACATAAAAGGTCAGCTCCAGAACCAACTTGATATTCTGTTCCATATAATCTTTCCAAAGCTTTAACAGCACGTAAAGCAAGGGGTCTCTAAAAACAAAATTTGTGTAAATTATTTTAACAAAAATTATAACAAAAAATTTAAATATTAGCATATGTCCTTTTTTTCTTATTAAAAAACTGTCCACACAAAACAAGAAATAAATAAAATAATTACTCAAAAATATATTTATTTTTTGTCTATCCGCTATTTATTTATGCAGAATCTCCCTTTAAAAATATTTTTTGTTAGCAATTTATTTATTAAGAGAATTCCCGTCAGAAAAATAAGGAAAAACAACTTCCGACGTTAATGAATCTAGATTTTCTTTTGATTTGGGAAAGGAAATAAAAAGAAGCTTGGAAAAAAGATGGAGAGAGAGATTAGATATTAACGAACTAATATATTTATAAATCCAGTATTTTAAAAATTAGATATATAAATAAAAGGCGAAAGACATAATGGAGCCCATTTTGATATTTATTTTTATTTCCTTTTTAGTCTAATATCCAATAAAAATAAATTTATTTTGAGATAGAAATGTCTTGAATAAACTTTACAACTATGATTGCTAGACCGAATAAGCTCCGAAAAGATTAGGGATGACTAAAAAAAGATGGGCATGAATCTAACAGACTCATAGGAGCACCTCAAGAATGATAGAGTTTTCCTGAATGCCCCAAAAAATTTCTATTGAACCTAAGAGATAGTATAGTTATGTATTTGATTTTTAGTTGTTGTAAAAAAAATGAAAGTCCATACAGCAACATTCTTGGCCTCTTCAATTTCTGGCCTTTCTTTAATTGCTAGTCTTGTATTTATTGCAAATATTTGTTCAGATGTTGCCCAATTGTGGCTAGATCTTGACCAAGAAATTGGGGTTTTCAGAGCCGAGACTGATGATCTATGGAGAGATATGGTGAATATTGGGCGTTCACGTCAACGTCGTGATACTGGCTACGAAGAAAAGCCAGCGAAGAAAGGATATGATGAGGGAGTTAATGGTTAGTTAAAATATAGAGACCGTTATATTATAGAGAACGGGTTTAAGTGAACAATCGAGAATTTCGGTCTTGATTTGAACAAAATTTTGTCTCGGTCCGATCTCTAGTTAATATTTGTACAATAAAAAAGAAAATAAAATTAAAATTTAAAGCCCCAGCAGCACCAACAGGAGTACAACCACCAAGTGTTCCGCCTAGCATTCAATCTAGTTCACCTGGATCAGGAGGATGCAGTAAGTATTTAATTTTAAGTTAAAATCAAAGTTTTGTTTCTAACAATTATTTGTAGATTGTTTAACTGGCGCTGCAAATAAATGCCCAGCAGGACCCCCCGGACCTAAAGGAGTATCTGGGCCACCAGGAAAGGACGGTTTAGATGGTCAACCTGGCGTTAACGGTAAAGATGCGTTGGATGTGACACCCGATGTGCCAAAACCGGGATGGTAATTTTTGTCTTTAGAGTAATAAATTTATGATAAATTTAGTTTCAATTGCCCTGCTGGACCTCAAGGCCAACCTGGCCCAGTCGGACGTACTGGACCTAAAGGTCATCCAGGAGCGAAAGGACAGCCAGCACATGCTGGACGTGATGGAAACCCCGGACCACCTGGAGAGTCAGGCCCGCCCGGTCCAGTTGGACCACCTGGCTCTATCGGATTGCCCGGAGAGAAGGTAGAGAGAGATAAAGCAAAAAAATGTAATAAATTAAATAAATTAAAAGGGACGTGATGCTGAACAACCAATTGGTCGCCAAGGTCCTCGTGGACCAAAAGGTAGAAAATTTCTCCAAATAATTCGATTTATATTAAATTTTTCCAAAGGTCCACAAGGCCCCCGTGGCCCGGAAGGTGATGCGGGAATAAGTGCTCCGGCTGGAGAAGCTGGACCTCAAGGACCCCCTGGCGGTCCAGGACCTCAAGGTTCACCAGGAAATCAAGGCACGGCTGGTGAGGAAGGAAATCCTGGACGAACTGGACGTGACGCTGAATATTGTCCTTGTCCTCAACGTTCGGCTGAAGTTAAAGGTGGAAAGGGATATGGAAGGAAAGCTTAAATATTGTGACGACAGAAGAAAAGAAATAAAAAAAGATGTGATAATTAATTAAATAGAAAATTTGGTCGGAAAAATAAATTTATAATGGTGAATTAATTTGAAAAATTATTAGATTAAATTGAGAAAAGATAAAAATAATTAAAAACTAGCCTGAACAGTATGAAAATCTTCTGGGTAATTTCGTTTTTTATGTCCATAGGGTAAAAGCCAAAGTTGGGAGTAGGAATGTAAAGAAATGAATGCCTATAATTATTAAATAAAAATTAATTTTATTTATGTAGTACCTTCACAGGATGTACTTGAAGAAAATCTCTGACAGATTTTCTGAAACATTAAAAAAATTAAAATAAAATATTTAAATTAAATAATTAATAAAAACAAAATTCACGCGACTCAGGTTCGCTGAACGCTGAAGGCCCGTGGTAAGTTTCATGGCAAGGATCAGCACTTGAACCAGTTACTGTGAAAAGATAATATATTTTTTATTTATATATTCTAATAAAAGGGACTCTCTCCAGTAAGTATATATATCTAATTGGAGTTGGATTTCATTATAAGATACTACAATCCAATAAAATAATTTTTTTAATACGTTTGGCCATTGGGAGGAGGCCAAACAGGGAGGAGGCACCTGGGAAGAAGCCAACCCTAAACGATACTCTCTAAATAAGGAACACCTACGTGTAAGGTAAAATTATTCTATTCTCAGGAAGGTATCTTATAGGGAGTCCCAACAATAATATTTCTTATAAAAGAACAGGTTCTTCTATTAAAAAAGAACATACTTGACCAAAACCAATCAAAATTTCTATTTAAATCAACACCAGAACAACAAATTCTATTAAAATATTGTTGTTTACAAAATGCTGGTCTTCTATTTTTCCTCCACATTCTATTCTAAATTTTTAAATTAAAAAAAATTTCTTTATTAAATTAGTTAATCTACCTTTGTATGTGAATATTCATAACTAAAAAAATTTTTAATTTTTAATACAAACTTGTAAAAAATGATAATTTTATGGGAATTTTTATTCTTTTATCCATTTAGAGTAATTTTGCAAAGCAGAGGAAGGTCATAATTCGTTTCAGATTAGTTTTCAGACATCCGACATTTGGATGTTCTGAATTAACTCAGCTACGGACTGAACTACCGAGACTATAATTTTGATTTCTCTTACTAGAAGCTAGAAATAAAAGCTCCGTTCTTTACAATAACGAATAATTTTTATAGAATATTTATTTAATTAATTAAATATATTATGTAATCAGTAATATTCTCACAATTTTTTTAAATTTAAAATTTAATTTTACCCGTCTGGATTAAGTACAGGTGTAATATACCAATCTATATGTTCAACTAAATGGCGTACACCCACATCTTCAGAATTATATCCATTTACTAATGCTGCTATTAAAATCATTGCTGTAGCTATTTTTTAATTAAAAAAATAAATTTTTGTTAATAAATTATTTTTAAAATAATTAATAATTTTGAAAATTCATGGAAGCAAGGAATTTTATTTAACAAAAATCGCAATTATTTAAAAATCATAATTTGGGTAAAATTAATTTAAATTAATCTTTTAAATTAAATTAAGTAATAACCAGGTGCAATCCACTCCCTAGCATGTACCCCAGCATCTATCCAAATAGCTGGTCCTCTGAATGGACGCCAACTTTCATCAGGCATTATCTGTCTTGCTGATATCTTTTTTCAATTTTAATTCGATTAAAAATTCAAAAAAACTTTAGCTGTAACAATAGAACGATTTTCGTGTGTTCTGCCAATTTCATAAAGTGAAATTAGTCGAGGATTCATTTCTCTCAAACGAAAAAGATGTTCCTCCATTCGAGTTAATGGATTGTAACGATCATATCTTTTTTGAAATTAAAAAAGGAAAGATTATTTTTAAATAAGTTAATGAGAGAATAATTTAAAAATACTTGGATAACAATTATTTTTTATTAAAATAGAGATAAATTTAAATCTCGATAAGAGTGACTGTCGGGACTGAATTGTGCAGATATATTATGGAAGGGAAAGAGTATTAAGGGAATAAAGGGAATTAATTAAGGGTTTAATTAATTTAATTAATTAAGAGAACTTTCAATATTCAACTGTATGAAGTAAATTGAAGGAATGGGGAAAATTTATTTGAAAAAAAAAGAAAAAATAGTTTAAGAATAAGAAATTAAAGAAATCAAAATAAAAGATGTTTGTGTAAAAGCGCAATATAATTAAAGAATTATTTTAAGATTTAAAATCTATTTAAATGGAATTATGAAAGATCGAATATTTTTGAGTGAAAAAATGAAAAAAAAATTTAATTAAATAAATTTAGCTACTAATTATTTTTAAATTAATTTTTACTAATTTACCTATATTCGGGCTCTTTAGGTTTAGCCCTTCCAAACCAAAATTTTTCTCTTTGATTTTCTTCTAATAATAAAAATTCTTTTTGATCATCTGCTTGGTAATTTTGTTGAAAATTTAAATTTTGTTGATTTCTTTCTTTTTTAATTAAACTTAAAAAATAAATTGATTAAAAATATTTTTAGAAAATACTTGACATTAATAAAGGAATGTGGTGGGAAACATTTTGACGATATTTTCTTAAATTTAACGAAAATATTTTTAATGTGATATCGAAACATTTCTTTGGAATAGTTGTTTTCAAGCGAATTAATTTAAACAAGAAAATATTGTTTCTGCAAGAAAGTTCAAATATTTTAAGAAAAGTGTCCGCAAAAGTGCACGCAAAAATGTCAGCAAAAATGTTTACACAAAAAACACTACTCCCTTCCTCCCTTTCCATTCATTAATGCCAAAAATATTAAAAAATTAATAATTCTAAACTCTTCAAGATTATCAGCAATAACCAAATAATCTAATTCTCTATGCCTCAATTCTCCAAAAAATGCTGGGGCATCTATAGGAGATACTGTTAAATCAACTAAAGCTCCGATATTTGTTGGTGGCTTTTTAAAGAAAAAATTTATTTAAAAAAATTTTTTAAATAAAAACCTGCCAAAAATCTAAATTAAAAAAAGGAGGGGCAGAATTTGTGTCACTCGAATATAATTCTCTAAGCCAATTTAATTGTTTTTCTGTACGTGGATTTAGACGGAGAAGTTTAAATCTTAAAAAGGAAAAATTTTAAATGATTATTTTTTAACTTTCTAAAGTCATATGTCAATCTTACACCCAATCTAACATTATATTACATTCACCTTCAATTTTACTTGCAAGCAAAATTTATTTTTACGTAAATAAATTAATATAAAAATAAATTAATTAAATTAATAAATAAAATTTTAAGTCATTTCAGTGTATGTATAAAATCGAGTCCGGCTGTAATTTTAATTAAAATAGTATTGTCTCTAATACAATCTCTGGGCGACTATTTTTCAATACCCCTCATTGAGTGGGCTTCTAATAGGGGGCTTCTTCTATTGGAGATGGGCTTCTATTAGAGACAATATTGTATTTTTATTTTTTAGAAGAAAATCTTTTTAACAAAGTTTATTGTCTGATTATCTTTCACTTTGAAAATTTCTATTATTTTTAAAGAAAATTTTATCAACCCAAATTTATTTGTCAATTATTTCCCTTTAAGTCTTTAACCCTTTTTTTAATTTTAGAATTTTTAAATAAATTAATGAATTTAAAAATAACCCAGTAAAATCTTTTCTTTCTTGCCCATTTTGTTGTTTTAATTCCTCTTCATTATTATAATTTTGTTTAAATACCCATTCATTTGTTAGAGAAAATGTTAAATTAAATAAATTAAAAATAATTGTAATAAAAAATAAAAATATTAATTGTTGTCTAATTAAATTATTTGTGTAATTATTTGTTAAATTGTAGGTGGACATTTGAATATATTTTTATTTCAAAAATATTTTTTTTACCTTTAAGTAGGAAATAATCAAAACAAAAAACCTTAACAAGATTCCACGGGATGAACTAAACTTTCGGGTAGTTTGAATATTTCTCGGGATTGGTTTTAAATTATAGTCTTTTTAAGTTGGAGCCGTGGTAATCCTTGTATAATAACAAGATACCTCGCTGAAAAATCGGTTCCTCAAATTGTTAAAATAATGGGAAAGTAAAACGATATGAAAATATTTTTATTTGATTGGATTTTAAAAATAGAGAAGTAAAAAATTTAACACAGACTAGCATATGTATTTAGATGCGCAACCTCATGGCATTTATTGCTAGTCGATAAGCTAACGATGGCAGCTTTTTCATAGATTTTAAACCCCCCACTTGGTAAGCTTTATAGATGCTATCCAGCTGGATCTGCCTCTTTCGTATAATAAAAAGATAAAAAATAGAAAGATGGTACTTTTGTTAATAAATGAAGATTTTGATATTTATTGGATATTAATTCCCTTTTTTTTAATTTTGATTCAATTGAAGAATTAAAATAATTTTGTAATATTTTTAGGATGAGAAAGTATAAATAAATAAATTTTTATTCAAATACTCTATAAGTGGAAAGAAAGAGAAGACCATCATCAATCGCTGAAAAATCGGCTTCTCAAGTGGAGAGACAAAAAATACGACACAGAAGATTATTATTATTTTTATTATTATTTGGTCAAGACCTACACCAAATATTTAAAAGAATAAGTGTATTTTTGGCGATTAAAAATTTTTTTGGATTAAAAAGGGAAATAAAAATAAATTAAATTTAATTTAAATATTATTCTAAATACAATTAAATAAAAGTTTCAATGCCAACTTAATGAATTGTAAGGATGATTCACTTAGAGCATTTAAAACATTTACTTAGTAGGTGAATTTATTTTAACACCCCCTCACTTCAAGATAACAATACATAATATCACTAGGGTTGTCGGTTCTGGACCGAGCCGAATCGAACTGAACCAAAGAAGTTTTTCGGTTCGGTTTCTCAGTTCGGTTTCGGATATCCGAAGAATTCCCAGGAACCGACAACTGACACATCAAAATTATTATTTTATGTCGAGCATTTTTTTACCCAATTATTTTAAGATTGGAGAAGACTACATATAGATTATATTAATTAAAAATTGTGGACATTTCGATTAGAGGAATTTAATAAAAAATACAATAGGAAAAAACATTTCCATTAAGCCTTGTAATTAATTGAGATAATTTAAGTCATCAGAAATTATTAATTATTTATGATAATTTTTTAGTTTAAAAAAAGTATTCTCAGTAAACAAAATTAATTTTTATAATTTTTATTTTCTTCTTTGTCTCTGTATTCTTTCCATATCCAATTTTTAACAGTAATTTCTTTAATAATTAACATGCCAGTTTCCAATGTTTTATTTATTTCTTAGCTTAATTTAAATATTTAAATTTTTCAAAATAAAAAAAAAATAAAAAGAAAATAAACGATTAAAAATTTAAATTTCTTTTTTTTTAATTTCAAAATTTACTTTTTTAAATAATTTTCGTTCCACTTTCTATTAAAAATTAAAACAATTTTTATTTGTTTTATAAAGTAAATACAAAAAATATTTTAATTGACCCTCATTTAAATAAAAAAAATTAATTTTTCTACAAAATTTTAAAACAAAGGAAATTAAAATATTAACTATTAAATTCCTTTACAAATTTATTGTTTAGAGAAGGAAAACGAAGAACACACAATTTATTGTGAGTTTTTGTAAACTGTACCTTAAAAATTAATTTATTTTACACATTTTTGAACACCACACTTTCCTTCCTTATTTTCTGACTTGCCATTGTGTGTATAGCATAGAATTTATTATTTTTTTGATAGGTGATCGGAGAAAACAATTTGTTGGTACACATTTTTGTGAAAAAATAATTTATTTTTTTATTTATTTTTCCGTCAAAATATAAATTATTTATTTTCTTTGTAAAAATACAAGTTTTTACTTTTTGGGATGATTTTTGTATTTTTAATTTATTTGTTTCTTCTTCGTTGATTTTTTAAAATTATTGTATAATTCAGACCTGACCATGGATATCGATAATATCCGGATCATGGGCGGGCGCAAGAGAAATCTCCAAAAACGCAATGCGCCCGCCACTGATCCGGATATATCAGCGGTATATCCGCGGATACGGACAGCAAAATCCGTGTCTATAACCAGGTTCTGTATAATTTTTGATTAAATTTATAGAAGAGAAAATAAATTAAGACTTTTTTAAATTAAAAAATTATTAATATGTTAGGACAAAACTTTAACAAAGGAAATTAATTTACTACATTTAGCTTGTAGTAAATAATTAATTGACTTTGACCTGAATATATTAAAATTTATTTTTACAAAAAACTTCGGAGAGAACGGGCAGTCGAAGAACTGACAGTTTAAAAAAAACTCGTCAAACATTCCTAAAAAATATTTATTATGCCCTTAGGGTATATTTTTGTTCATCAATAAAACAAACAAGCTTCTTTGAAAGAAAATGTTCTTTTTCCTTCCTTTTTTCCCAATTTAATTCCAGTCTTCGCGCATCGGCTTTTTTTATTTATTTGCTTCTTTCGCCCATTTATCAGATTCTTTTTTTGTCTTTTTTAGCAATCTACTAATTTTTTTATTTATTTATTCTAACATTGACGCCCCCAAAAAGAGAAAAAGAATTGGTAGAAACATTCAACTTTAAATAAAAAAAATTAGCGATAAATGTTTAGTTTAGCTTTTAAAAGGTTTAAAAAATTAATTATTTATTTATTCTCCTCCCCTTTATGTGTAAATGCCCTTCCATTTAATATATAAATAATTAAAAGTTTTGATCATTTTTAATTTAATTTTTTCTTTTTCTGAGAAAGAAAGAAAAAATGATTGACTTAGAAAATAGAATTAAAGCTTATCGTTTTGTGGCATATTCAGCTGTTTGTTTTTCGGTGGTAGCTGTACTTTCTGTATGTGTTACTTTGCCTATGGTCTATAATTATGTTCATCATGTTCGTAGAAGTATGCAGAGCGAGATTAATTATTGCAAAGTAAAAATTAAAGTTAAAAAATATTTTTTAATTTTAAAATACTTCGATATATTTATGAGTGAAATAAAATACTTTCACTTCCATTTTAATTTAAACTTTATCTAAATATAATCGTTATTAAATACTCAAATCTAATTAATTAGGTCAGATCCTAATTTTTATTAATTTTCTAAAATAATTTTTTTTATTTTATTTTGAGTGATCAGCGACATTTTAAAGCCTTCCTTTTATTTTCTCTTAATAGATTATTTAAACTAATTTTTAGGGATCTGCCAAAGATATCTGGTCAGAAGTTAACCAACTTCGCAGCATTCCAGTCGAAAATAGCGGAAACCGAACAGCTCGACAGGCCTATGCAGAAGGCCCTAGTGCTGGAGTAGGATCTGCAGCTGGAGGAGGAGGTGGTTGTGAGGCTTGTTGTTTACCTGGACCGCCGGGTATTTTGTAAATAAAAATAATAAATATTTTATTTTTTAAATTTAAGGACCACCTGGTACACCTGGAAGGCCAGGAAGGCCGGGAAAGCCAGGCAAGTAATTTAAGATATTTAAATAAATACTATAGTGTTAATTCCCTTCTCTCATTTATTGTGTTAGTATACCTCTAGTTATTTTCTCCTTTAAGAGATTGAGAATTAAGTGAGAGAATTAACTTTTTATTTTTGAATCTTATTTAAAATTTTAGGAGCACCTGGCCTACCAGGAAATCCAGGAAAGCCACCTACACAGCCATGCGAACCTGTTACTCCAGTAAGTTAATAAATATTTAATAGAAAAGGATTTCAAAAAATAATTTTATTATTACAGCCTCCATGCAAGCCTTGCCCAGCAGGTCCGCCCGGACCCCCAGGCCCTGCAGGTCCACCTGGTGATGCTGGAGCACCTGGACAGCCTGGTCAACAAGGACAAGATGCGCCAAATGGAGAACCTGGGCCTAAAGGACCGCCTGGACCTCCCGGTCCACCTGGACAAGCGGGACCACCTGGAGAACCAGGAGCACCTGCACAATCTCAACCAGTCGTACCCGGTCCACCCGGAGAGCCTGGTAATTATTTTTAATTAATTTGAATTCACAAATTAATTTTTAGGAGATGCTGGGCCTCCTGGACCACCTGGCCAGCCTGGATCACCTGGATCGGATGGAGGTGCAGGCCAACCTGGTCCAAAGGGTCCGCCAGGCCCCCCAGGACCTCCAGGCAATGATGGCCAGCCTGGATCCCCTGGACAACCGGGACAGCCCGGAGGACAAGGAGAAAAGGGAATATGTCCAAAATATTGTGCAATTGATGGAGGGGTCTTCTTTGAAGATGGAACTCGTAGACGTCGTTCTTTAAATTAAATTGAAATGAAAAAGAAGAAAATTGAATGAAATACAGCAAAATAAAATGAATGGAATATTTTCAAAATAAATATTTAAAACGGGCAAAAATAAATATTTTGAATTTTAATAAAGAATATTTACTATAAATATGTGTTATTTATTTATTAAAAGAATTTTTTGTGTGTGGACCAGAGATCTAGCCGATTGATGAAGCGGGACGGCTAGAACGCTGGTGTGGACACACTCCCTAAACTAACTAGAACCAAATGAAACATTAATCTCCGAAAATAATGAAAGATTTATTAAATTCTATATTTTGAAAATAATTTGATCAGAGTTTTGTGTTGGCATCTAGCCAGTCTCTAATCTTAGCAAGAGTCAAATAATTAATCAAAAAACATTTTTACTTCACCAAAATTAAATATAAAAATATTTTTCCCTAGCATTTTTCATTCTTTAATAATTATTTTTTCTAATTCTCGCTGCATTTCTTCACATTCCTTCTTTAAAGTAGTTACTCTATTTTTAACCATTTCTTTATTATTAAATTGCTTTACTGTTCTGGTTAATGGGTAATAAATATTTGAATATTTAGGGCATATTGAATAGGCAAAGGATCTTTAAAAAGGAAATTAATTTTTATAAATTATTTTTTAATTTCCTACCTAACATCCTCTAATGCTTTTTTAATTGAATCAGCAACAAAATATACTGGTTGATAATCAGAATCTACATATGGACTAGAAAATTTTTTTAGATTTATTTTTAGGGTATTTATGTATTTGTAAATTACCGTAAATGTTTCAATAGAAGCCATTCCCTAATAGAAGCCCACTCAGTGATACCCTTAAAAAATAGACGCCTAGGGCTTCTATTGGAACATTTACATTAAATTAGAAATCTTTTTAATCACCGTAATGAAGTAATTTCTGGATTAAATGGTTCGTGTTCGGGTTCATTAGAACAGGCATACTAATATTTAGTGTTTAATTAAAAATATTTAAAATTAAATCCCCACACCTTTAATTCTCCATAAGCGGAAAGTAACCCAGCTCCTATTGCACAAATTTTACCTAAGAAAAATTTTAAAAATAATTTTTAATTAATTTTTAATATTTACCATTTTGTTTACAAAGTCCAAATTCAATAATAAACCAATAAACCTTTTAAATAATTAAATTAAATTTAAAAATTAAAAATATTAACTGTAGCTAATTGTTCAATTTGTTTGTCATTTGCTCCAAGTGAAAGAAGTCCAATATCTTGAGAAATTTGGGCTAAATTTTCGTCCTAAAATAATTATTTTTTAAAATTTATTAATCTAATTTTTTATTCATAGTTAATTTAAATAACACTGTTACACTTTATGAGTCCAATTAAATTATTGAACTTATAAATAGGGTTGGGGTTTTCGAGTTGGGCCAACGTTCGAGTCATTTTTTCGGGTTTCATTTTTATCGGGTCGAGTCTTTTTCAGGCCAAAATTCGATGCCCGACTCGATCCTCCTGACCAGCCCAGGCCCCTAACCCTACTTTAAATTCGAATAGAGAGACACAAACTTTAATTAAAAATAATTAAAATATTCAACAAACAAATAATTTTACAAAAACTTACAACAAACATTGGACAATGTCCAAGAATTTCATGTATTACATCTGGTTCAGGACAATGATGTGGAGCAATAAAAAAGAAATAATTTTTAAATTAATTTTTAAAATTTATTTACCTAAAATGTCTAACATAAAGAGTTGCCTAAAGAAATTAAAATTTAAAAAATAATTTTTTAAAATTTATACTTGAAATACTCTAAATGCCAGACTTGCAAGAAAGTCTCTAGCTGAAAGAAGTCCTCCACAGGGTCTTAATTCAAAGCCTGTTTTTTCTTTAAAATTATAATTTAAAAATATCTTTGTATAAAATAGTTGTTAACTTTGAATATAAGCACTTAACTCGCGAATTTGTGGAATTCTGTCAGCATTACTACAAAAATATTTTTTAAGAATTAATAGTTTTCATAAATTTTTATTTGAGAATATTTATTAAAAAATCATTTTTTTATTTTAAATTTTATTTTTACAAAAAATTGAGAATTAATTAAGTTAATTAGTAGAACCTGTCATCTTAGCTATTATTTGATAAATTCTTTATAAGCCAAATAACTTTCGATTTGTTACGATTTATTAGAATATCAAAATTCTAACTTTTTTGAGCCTAATCTATTCATTAAACCTTTTTTTTGAACTCATTTTAAGGTTTTTAAGATTCTTTTCAAAAGTTTGATCCTTTTCAGACAATACTTATGTATGAGTAAAATAGAAGTAGTCTAATTTTTCTAAAGTCTTTAATTTAAATAATTCTTTACATTAATCCAATTTTTTCCATTTCAGCAATATTTCTCTGATATTCAATACAAGTATGTGTTTCTCTTAATTCACACAATTGTTTATAAGCTATTTTCCACGTATTCTAAATTTAATTTATTTTTAAAATTTAATTTATTTTCCAAACATTTTCTTCTTCAGTATATTCAATTAAAGGAATTGGCTCTCCAAAACGATAAGAATTTGCTATTTTATTTAATTCAGAACGTCTTTCTATATATTTTTTATCACCAAAGCCCTAAATAATTTTAATTAAAAATTTTTTTAAAAAACAAACAGGGTGTTTAGGATCTTCCGTTGGTTCGTATTTAACAACAACATGGGCACAAAGATCAAGTTCTGATATGTGGTGAGGGAACCAAATTATTGAATTAACTTTTAATTTAATTTGAATATTTTTTTATATTAATTTTGACCCTTTTCGCCTTTTTTCCCTCTTAATTTACAAAAAATCTTGAATAATACTAAAATAAATATTTGGCCGAATTTCAAGAAATGAGAATTATTATTGTATTTCCTCGATTAGTTACCCTCATTTGAGAGAGATTAAGCAATAATTAATTATTTAGGCTAATGAAGATAAAGGATTGTACAAAATTCCATGATTTCCCTATCTTATTAATTCTTGATAATTTTCGAAATGAATAAGAAAAAAGGAGGGAAAAGGAGAATATTTTAATTGATAACTTTAATTAATTAATTAATTTACCATTATTTTCTTTATATAAAAATAAATTTTTTAGTTCAATTCTTTCAATAGAATTTTCAACAACAATTTTACTCAAAACTTCCAAAAACATCCATTTCTTCCCACTTAGTTTGGCACGCATTTCCAAATTTCTTGAATATTCTTTTAATAAAAAATAAAAATTTATTTATTTAATTTAAATATAACCAAGTTCAGGAATTATTTCTAAATTATTTAAATATAATCCAATTGATAAAAATTGTTGTAATGCTGATTGAAGTATTTCGCGATTATTTTCTCCTTTTTAAATAAAATTTAGAATAAATTTAAATTATTTCACAAGGGTTGAAAAATCAGGAATGGGAATAAACTAAATGGTTGACTTTGGATCTGATTTGATTTTATTTGAGCAAATGTTTTATTTTGATTTGGCCAATTTCTAATTGAAAGGGGTTTTTAAAGCGTAAGAAAATCGAGATTTAAAAAGATATAAAAAACGAAAATTGGTAAATAGTAAAATAAAATCGGTAAAATCATTACGACCAATTGGACATAAAAACTAAAAAAATTTTTTTTGTAAAAATAAACTTAACGTAGGAAAGTATTTAAACTAAAATTCTACTTAATTCAATAAAAAAATTTGATAATTTTAAAAATTCTTTTTCATCTAAAAAATGAAATTTAACGTATACAAGGTATACTAAGGAACACTACTAATAAACCCATTTTACTCTAAAAAGCATTACCGCCTGATTAGATTATAGTTCCATTAAAAAATTTGTTTTAATAAAACTTTTAATGAATAACACAAATTTAATTGAATACCTACCTAAACAATTTAAAATTAAAAGTAAATTTAATTGTTCTTCTTCACTTGCATTTTTAATTAATTCAACACTTTCATCATTTAAACATTGTAATAACTTTAATTTAAAAATTTATTTTTTAACCTTATAAAGAATTCTCAACCGTTTTACAAATAGTTAATGAGCGTTCTAATTCTTTTCGACTACGTAAAGTATTTTGACGTCGAATCCCCTCATTTTGTTCTCGATCTAGGGAGGCTAAATAAATTAAAAATTCAAATTAATTTATAAAATTTTAAATAAATACCTAACCTTGTTTAATAAGAGAATCTCTTCTTCCAAAACGATTTATTTTTGTTGGCAAAATTGAATTATTTAATGACATTTTAAAAATAATTTTAAATATAATTCTACTTATTTTTCAATAAAAAATTGAATTAAATTTATTTTTAAAATAAATTAACCTCAGAGGCTACCTTTAAATATTGTAAACGAGACCATAATGGGTCATAAGTTTACCATATTTTTGTTTTAAATTTTTAAATAAAGAAGATTCTATATCTCAAAGGATTTCTTAAAATAATTTATTGAACTACTTAGACCTCTAAAATCCCTTCTTAAGGATGGTTGAGCAACGGAGAACACGTGGGGGGGGGCTATATTTGAGGAAATACGTGTGGAGGGAATTAACTTTGGGTAAGTTATTTTTTAAATAAATTCTTAGTTAAAAATTAGGTTTAAATTAGGAAATATTTTACTTATATGAAAAATATTATTTAAAATTTTAAATCTCCTTTATTTACATTATTTTAAGCAATTCTAATAAAAAAACACAAAATTCTGTCTGCATATTACTATTCCAATAAATATATTTTATGCTCATTTTCACAAAAAAAATTTTTTTTAAGTTTTCTTTCACAAAAATATTTAATTGTTTCCTCTCGATTATTTAGAAAAAATTGAAAAACTAAAAATATATTTTTTTAAATTTAAAAATATATTAAATATGTCTAAGTAATAATAATTTATTTCTATTTTTTATATAAATTATTAGTTTAAAATGACGTAGATGAAGAAAGAATATTTTGTAAAATTTTAATAAAAATAGTTAGGTAGTCAATTAAAAACTTCCAATAATTTCAAACTTTTATTTTAAATGCTAATAATATGTACAATAAAACTAGAAATCTTTAACAAAATATTTAATAAAAATTTCTTTTCAAAAAATATTTTATTTCAACTTAACAAATTATCCTCCTCTCCATTTTCGTTCAATTTTTCACTCTCATCCATTTGTTGACTTTCTTTCCTTTTTTCTTCTTAAATATTTATTTAATTATTTATAAAATCAAATTACATTTCAAATTTAAATTTAAGAATTTTTTAAAATTCAAAGAAGGTCCAAGGGTTATTCTATACAATTTTAAAATAAATATCCAAACCTTTACTATCCTCCTTCCCAACAACTTCAACTCGCCTTGTCACTAACCCCCCTGGCACAAAAGTTTCTTTATTCCCTTTTCGCCAAGTTTCCTTTCCAACCTCTTTATTTGTACGAGGATCGTTGACAACAACAGAAATAAATTTTTCTTCAGAAGAAAGCGGGTCTAACTAAAAGAAAATATTTAAATTAAAAAAATATCTTTGGTAATTGTAAATTATACCATAGATACTCTAGTTTCTCCAATATTAACAGCATTTTTGTAAAATTCAAATTTAATTGGGAAAGTTTTTCCAATTTCCTTTTAATTATAAATTAAATTTATTTAAATTTTTTTCTTAAAATCTAAAATCTTTCAAATATCATAAAAATTTCTAATAATTCGGGATTAGAGATATTTAGATCAGTAATCGAAACAGGAGAAGCGGTAGAAAATAAAAATCAGAAGACAGGACACAAAAGAGGAAGGGTAATAAAAGCGGAATTCTGCGGAAGCGGAAAGCATATCATTCTACCCGGGACCGAATACAGCTGATGTGAAGGAAGGTGTTAAGTGAATGCAGGATTATACTAGTTAAGTTCCGTTAAAAAAAATTTTTCTAAGTTAAAAAATAATCTAACAGTAATTAAATCATTTCCAATTAACATATCAGCAGGGCAATCCCAAGCAACCAACAAAGGAATCATTCCATCACTTTTCCAAGGCCCAATTTCAATCGAAACTGTGGAAAAGGAAAGGAAATATATACTTTCACCTACAATATATTTAACCCTTTTTCACCTTCTGTACTGAATCTAAATTCAGTAAGGAACAATAAAAAATAGAGAATTTCCCGGGTAAATTCTCAAAAATAAAGAATCAGATTTATTAAAATTTATTTCTTCCAAAGTAAAATTTAAAAACCAGAAAAAGCCCTTTTTTTTAGAGAGTAAAAATCTTATAAAGAATGGAAAGTAAAAAATTGAAGATGAAGATGATTTTTAGAAGGAAATGGATGATTGTTTTTGGACTTTTTCTTGTCTTTTTAAACAAACATTTTTAAGGCGGTTCAAAAATAAAAATAAACCAAAATTATTATTGTTTTATGATTAATCATTTTTTAAATTTTAAAAAATAAATTCTTTTCGTTGCATTCGCAACACTCGGGGGGTGCGCAAAATCTCATTGTTGTCGTGCTGCCTGAATTGTCAGTAGAAGAACACGAGCAAGTTGAAAGAGAAGCGTTGCTAAAGGCGCTGGGTGTCGTTGTGCAAGTTCGGTTAGATCTCTTGCCAAGTTTTCAGCAGCATTTGGTGGAATGTTGTTGTTGTGGTGAGAAAGTGTTGGTTGATTATTTTGTTGATTTTGAAGACCACAATTAGCTAGAGGGCAATTTTTAGCCAAATGTAGTTTATTCCCACATAAGAAACAACTCTTTATGTAATTGCTTGCTGGTCTTTTGTTGTAACAATTTGGGGATCCGTTAATCTCTTCTTTCCTAATTTTAGGAATTTTAAAACTTGCCAACGGACTTGGTGTATTTGAGTTTGTAGTTGAGGCAATTTGCATTGTTGGCGTAGTTAAAGTTGAAGAAGAAGATTGAGTAGAAAATGTTGTTGCACCCCCAGAAGCATTAACATTTGATTGTGAAGCAAGCCATTGTTCAAAAAGACCTCTTAGATTTCTTCGTTTTTCTTCTTCTTGATTTGTTGAATGTATTTGAGGGGCCTGACTAGTGGATTGTGTTTGATTAGCCTGAACAATTTCCTGAATTGAAAGATTAGGGGTAATTCCTATATTTTCGTATACCAAAATTGTATCATTATTATCATCACTTTCTAATAATTTATTAAACAATTCTTCCTGTGTCTCATTTTTATCATTTGTTGGAGTTAGGGGAGAATAACCTGGTGATCCAAATACAATACCAAACAATGTAAACAAAACAATAATATTAAACAGATTTTTAGCCACCTTCATTTTTATAGAAAATTCCACCAAAGAAAATTTATTTCCTAAAACATCCTCCTGTTCTTCTGGTTCGATCTGAATGGAAAAATTCCATTTATTCTCTTGATATTTAATTTCTACCTTTTCTTTTCTTCCAGAATTTATATCGATTTTTAGAGTATTTTCCAATTCTTCCTGAATTTTTGGATTTTCAATTTCTTCCTCATTTAAAGCCTGAAATTTATTTCTATTATATTTGTCAATTTTTCTCAAATTTCCAGCATTTAATAGTTTATTTAAATCCCTATTTTCCAAATTTTCTATAAAGATTGAACTTAAGGGATAGAACTCTTCTGCACTCCGAAACGAGTGCTCTAATATTATGCCTGGTCCTGTGTCAAAATTTTCCTCTTCAGGATTAATTATTACCTGAGATTGTGTAATGTGTGCTTTATACCAAGATTCTTCCATATTTAAAGGTTTAACAGCATGTAAGAATTTTTCCTTGACTAGCAACCAATCCCCTATGCCAGTTATAGGTGTAATTAATTCTTGTTGTCCTGGTTCGGCAATCCATGCATTTAAATTACAGCCTTCCTCTTCCAAATTTTTTAAGGCTGTAGAAATAATATCCCGAGAATTAGATGATTTGTAAAGTAAATAAGGCACATCCTGTATTTCACAGTCCAAAACAAGTGCCGAGTATTTAATTAAAGAATTATATGAAGACATTAAATAAATTGTATTAAATTTATTTTCCCTGAAAATAAAAAATAAAAATAAATTTTTATTTAAAGAATATTTTTTAAATGTAAAATAATTTTTATAAAATTTTTTATAAAGAGAATGATTTATATAAAAAAATAAAGAAGAAGAGACGCCAAATGCCTGTTTCATCTCTCCTATATTATTCATATGTAAAAATATTTTCTCTTCTGTGTTACACCCTCCGCGGGTAAGAGAAAAAAGAAAGAATAAAAATAGAACAGTGAATAATCTAGAGTAACCAAAAAAATAGGGGACTATCTTGCAAATAATTTTTATAAAAATACAAATGAGGATAAAAGCGATTATAATAAAAATTATAATCTTCCAGTTCAAAAAATCCAAAATTAATCCCTTAAAATCAACTAGTGGGAAATTCTTCCAAATCTCATTTATCCAAGAATAATTACCTTTATTTGAATAAATTTCTGGGGTTCCATTTTTCACTATTACTTTAACTCTCTCAGCCAGAAAATATTCTAATCTACCTTCCAATGTAAATTCTGATTTTCCAGCTGGACATAAGACTTCACAAGTTTCCAAAACTTTAGCCTTATTGAAAGAAAGTACAACGTACTGCTCTGTACCTAATTTTGAACATTGAGCAGTAAAAGTGTTATCCTGACATTTTATTTCAGCTAAAGTATTTCCTGAATTGGTTTTACACTTAAATCTAAATATCGAGCCAAAACATGAATAACATCCTGTTAATTTTATTGGTTCGACTTTACATAAGGTTAATTCAGTATTCGCGGCAATTGTCCAATTGTCTATTCTTACCATGACTTGAATAGGCAAATAATTTGTTTCACTAAATATTTTCTTCCCAATACTGCGCAATTTCACTCTCTGAACATCCAGAGGCAGTATTTTAGTAGGGTCATTAAGTATCCTTTCTATAGAATTTTCAAAACAAGTACATGAAACTCTTTCCAGTTCGTTATCTTCCCAACATTCTTGACATATTTTAGGGTCTAAAGAGCACATAGAAAAATTCCTGAAATTTCCACCACAATCCAAATACGACGTAAATTCATCAACAATAGCAATTCCTGAATTACTAACAATAAATCTACTATTTAGAATTGGTGCAATTGGTGGTGTAAGATCCCATAAAGTAATTTTCAAATCTTTCCAATGTACCGTCAGACCAGGGTGAAGTAAAAATTTAGTCTTTTCCCTGTTTTTATTTAAAATCATCGACATTTCAACTTCAACTACATAGTCCCATGTAGGACATGTGACTAATGTATAAATCTCTTCCGATTTTGGCGTCACATATATCCTGTAAAAATAGCAGGTTGTTCCGGGCAATCCGCATTTATAACCCCAAAGTGATTGACCTTCAATACAAAACGAATTCCCAGGGTAATTTTCAAATTTTTCCAATTCCAAAACCTTTTCATTAGTTTTAATATTGCTACATTTTCCTGCTCTACATGTGCCTGCAGATGGGCATTTCTTTACTGATTCTATATTCACGTCAAATGAACGTAAATATTCTAGAATTTCCTGATTACAAGTAGTGGAAAGGGCTTTCATAACAAATTCTAATTCTCCAATAATAATTCCTTTCTCATCTTTAATTGTAAACGAAGCTACTTGATTATCAGGTAGCAATGTAATTGTATTAACTGTACTAATTTTACAGAATGATTTTCCTAATTTTTGGTAACAATCTTCCGATTTTGCCTGTACCGAAACAACTTCAACCTCGGCATTAATTAAAGGAAATAAACTAAAAATTATTGCCAATAATCCTAATTTTCTCAGCCGTCTATTTCTTTTCCTGTCTTTATTCAATTTTATTTCAGGATTTTTTAATAATGATTTATTATCATCGTCTTTATTTGGTCTCTTTTTCTTCCTAAATATTTTAGTAATCATTTTTATAATCCACCAGATAAGTGACATTATTTTTCCGAAAATAAACATTATTTTACAAATGCATAAACATATACTAAAGAATATGCTTATTAAAAATCCGATGACAATTCCAGCAATAATTAATATTTCTTTTGATTCACAATGAATATTAATTATTCGTTCCATAAATCCTGATACAATTTTACACGGATTAACTGCTGGGCATGTTATTCTATCTTTATATTTTCTATCCCTTTCCCAATAAACAGATTCACAATTATATTTATTTATAATTAATTCCTTTGGCAATTGAAAATGTAGGCTTCTTCTACCTTCCGTATTTACTACGCATTTTTCCCTGCAGCAAATTTCAATTTTGCGAATATATGGATTAACAAAAGATATAACTCCTTTGTCAGTACATCGTAACCTACAATCTCTACAATTCCGAATGGGATAACCATTTATGGCAAAACAAAATGTAAATAATCCAAATAATTGAATGATTGTCAATACAATAGCTTTTGAACGTGTGATCATTGGATGTAAATTTGTGTTTGCTTTCTTATCTTTTATTGGTTTATCCTGTTCTGTTTCTATTTCCTCTTGTTCCCCTCCAACTTCCAGGGGGAATAATTTATTAATAGGCCTGATTAAAGTCTTTTTGCCAATTTTTACCTTTGCACTTTTTACTGGATTACCATCTAATTCTAAAATTCTGCCAAGTGGCCAAGTATTTCTGGGTTGGCCTTCCTGTTGAATATTCACAATCTCACCAATTTCTGGTTGCCTTAAAATTGTTGATCGTCCATTTTGATGGTTCCAGCCTGATTTATCTCGTAGTGTTACCAAATAATTTTTTACCCAATTATCCCAGAATTTATTAAAAATTTTCTGAGTTTCCTTCCATCTATTTTGTAATTGTTTGGCTGTACTTAATTTACCTAGTATAAATTCCTCCGAATCGCTATCTTCAGCCGAAAAATAATTAAGTTCAACTTCCGGAATTAAAAAATCCAATGGCCGTATTGCCAAAATTCCATCATTTTCTGTTGAAACATAAGTGAGAGGACGGCAATTAATTGCAGTTTCAACTTCCTTAACAAATGTTTTGAGTTCCTCTAAATTTAAAATTGTACTCCCTAATGACCTTTTAAATGCATCCTTTACTAATTTAACAAGGCGTTCATAAAATCCACCTGCCCAAGGTGAGAGAACATTTATGAACTTCCATTCAATTCCTTTCTTTAATAAAAATTTATTGAGCTTAAAATCATCATTTTTAATTAATTTATCGTTCCAGTTTCCTTTAATGTTAGCTCCAATAATATCTGCTACCGCTTTAAAATGTGTGCCATTATCCGATATGATTTTCTTTGGGCATCCTCTTAAAGCAATAAACCTTCTCAATATGTGTAAAAACGAGGATGCGGACAAATCCAAAATTATTTCCAGATGTATTGCCCTAGTTGACAAGCAAGTAAAAAGGGATATCCAGAATTTAATTTTCTCCCCATTTATTTTACATGTAGATGGACCCAGATAGTCTACACCTGTAAACTCAAATGTCCGAGATCTTCTAACACGTTCATTAGGTAGCGCTGGCATTTCCGGTAATCCAAATTTAGGTCCTTCAATTTTTTGACACTTTTTACAATTTTTAACAACACTTTTAGTTTCTTTTCGAGCACCAGGCGTCCAGAATTTTCCCAAAAAATTAGCCAAAGTTGAATCAACACCTGAATGCATTAAATCCTCGTGTTCCTTTCTAATAAGTATTTTTATTAATGGGCTGCCTTTTGGTAACCAAATTGGTCTAGAAAAATCTCCTTCAATATTACAATTACTAATCCTAGTTTTAACATGTAATACTCCGTCCAAATCTTCTTCTAAATGCAAATTTTTATCGATTTTCCTGTCCAAAGATTTTTGTGCTAATTTATAAATAAATTTCTCTGTTACTTTCATTTCCTGTGTATTTAATTTTAAATCATTGCTAAAATTATTTAAAAAATTCCCTGAAATATTTTTGCCTGATTTATTCATCCAAATTTTTAAAAATTTTGCTACCAATGAAATACACATAATTAATTCATGCCAATTATTCCAATTAGCAAATTCTATAAATTTGTCATTTTCTTTTCCATCTACACACAGGAGAGTTTCCACTTTTTCTTTTTCATCTAATTGAGTATCATCCTCTAAAGGTTCAGTTAAAATGAAATTTAATTCATTTGGCCAATTTTCCTTCTGCTGTTTCATCCAGTCAGGACCTGTCCACCATAGAGTTGAGTCTTTTAATTCCAACGGCGTACAACCACGTGTGCCAATGTCCGCCGGATTATTATGTGTCTGGATGTATCCTACTTTTAATCCAATATTTTTTCTTATTTCTTTTATTCGATTAGCAATAAATTTTTCATTAATTTGACCTGTTTTAATCCAAAATAAAACTGGTTTTGAATCGCACCACAAAAAATATTCCGAAATTAAAATTCCAATTTGCTCTCTAACAAATTTTAGTGCCCTATTTGCAATTAATACGCCTAATAATTCCATTCTAGGAATACTAATCGGCATTTTCCTGGGCTTTAACCTGCTTCTAGCATAAACTAGATAACTCATTATTTTATCTTCAAGAGTAGTCCTGAGATAAACACAAGCTGCATAAACATCCTTTGATGCGTCTGAAAATACATGTAATTGATAACTAGCTCCAAAAACTGTTATCCTCCTTTCAATTTCAATCGGAGGTATATCCCATACCTTTATAATTTCTTCCCATATTTTTATCTCGCCAGAATCAAGTGTGTCATCCCAACCTTTTTTACTGTCCCAAAGTGATTGAAAAAATAATTTAGCTGCCAATAAACTCGGAACAGCCATTCCTAAAGGATCAAAAATACTTGCTAATTTACAAAGGACTCCTCTCTTTGTAAATTTATTTTCACTCTTTTCATTTGAAAAATCAATGTAAATTTTATCCGAATTAATATTCCAAGGTATTCCAAGAATTTTAGGTATTTCTTTTTCAAGTCTATCTTCCAAAGGAAATTTTTTATTTAAATTTTCGTCATTGCTAATAAATTCTCTTAAATTCATATTAGCAGCTTTAAATACCTTTTTTAATTTTTTGTATGCTTCCCAAGCTTCTTCCGGAGTTTCCAAACCTATTAAAATATTATCCACATAAGAATTATTTTTAATAATTTTAGCCAGTGGGTTATTCCAATTTTCCAGATGATGTTTTACTGTTGCTGCTAATAAAAATGGACTAGAAATAACACCGAAGGGTACTCTAGTAAATCTCAAATATTGCACATTCTCTAATGAAACCGGTGAATTAATATCTTTTAACCAAATAAGCTTCAGGACTTCCCTGTCATCATTTTCAAGTTCCAAAGAATGGAAAGCCTTTTCAATATCTGACCACATTGCGATTTTGGGAATCCTGAATCGAATAAGCAAACCAGCAAGATCGGGCATTATTATCGGCCCCCTAAATAAATGATCGTTTAGACTTGTTCCACCTCGTATATGTGCCGAAGCATCATATACAATCCTAATCTTTTTGGGGGAAATGACTGGGTGATGAGGCAAGAAGTGTTCAAGGCCACCTGTTTTTGAAGTAATTTCTAACACTCCTCTTTGCCTATCGTCTTCAAGTATTCTATCATACTCTTTTAAAAGCTCTGGAGTTTTCCTCAACTTTTCCAAAAGACCGAGGAACCTTTTATAAGCCAAATTAAAATTAGAAGGTAAATCTTCCTTCTTAATCTTCCAAGGCCATTTAACTATATATCTGCCATTCTCTCCCATTTTAATTGTCTTTTTAAATAATTCCATAGCTATCTGGTCATCTTTAGTTATTGGATCATCTCTAACTCCAATAGCTTCTAAACTCCAGAAATTGGCTAAAGAATCCTCTTCTCTTTTAATTTTTGCCCCAATAACAGCTACTGGCTGTCCTTCACTTTTAAATTCAACTAATTTATTTTGTTCTATTTCACCACAAATCAACGGACCTACCGTTGTTTCAATTTTGAATAAATATTTAGTCAAAGGAATCAGTTTTTTGAAAAATCTCCAGAAATGTTTCATGCTAATTAAAATATCTGGTATCACGTCTCCTATTTTGATAATACATGTTTGTATGTTAGCACATTTTATTTTTGGCATCATGTCTTTGTTTATCTTATAAACCAGAATTTCCTCGAAACTTCCATCATTTAACATTATTTTAATTAAAAAGCGAGAGGTTTTAAGTCGAATCGGATCAACATTTGCGAATGGCAAAATGTTAAGTTCCGTTTCACTTGCCTTTTTTAATTGCAATTCATTTGCCTTATCCTCCGTTATGAAACTAATAGTCGACCCTGTGTCGAAAAATGCTTTTGCTCCGATTACACTTGTACCAGTACCTGATAAAATATTGACCTCCGTATTCATTAATAAAATACTAGCATTTTCTTTTGCAATTGAATTTACGGGTTCAACCTTTTCAGGTGCTTCCTGATTTGAATAATTTTTATAATTGGTTTTAGGTTTTTCATAGCCTTTAGTGCATATCACTCTATTATGGCTGCCTTTACATAAATTACAACTAATTTTGAAATTACAATTCGATTTTACATGACCTTTTTTAAGACATAATAAACACCGATTCTGCTCCGATAAAATTTTCATCCTTTGAAACGGAGACTTTATCTGTTCACAATTCGTTGCCCAATGCGGTTTTTGACAAAACCAACAAGAAAGTACCTGTTTTCTTTTAAAATTATTCTGATTTTGCACCGAAAAAACCCTTCCTTGTTCTATTCTACCACTAAAATCCTTTTTCTGATTAAAATTCTTTTGGTTATTCCAATTATTAAATTTTTGATTGCCCATACGCGAGCTTAAAGTTTGTGTACACCTGTGTGCCTCTTCTCTCAACTGGACCAAATCGGCTAGGCCTTTCCTTAAATTTCCTACATTCCATTCTATATTTTCTGCTCTTTCCATTCTTAGCAATTCCAAAACTACATTGCGCGGTAATTTATTTTTAATAGCCATTAAAACAATATCTTTATCTTCTAAATGCCCCATGGCATCCAAAGAACGACAAATACGCTCTACTTCTTCCAAGTAATTGCGTAAAGAGACTACTGACTCATTAGCCATTGGTAGCCCTATCAATTCCGCGTGTAGTGTTTCCCTAATTGCTTTTTCATTTCCAAACTGCCTGAACAAAGCTTCTTTTAAAGGTAAATAATGTTCCGAAATTGGCCTATAGCCCCAAACGGCCCTCTTGGCCTTTCCCCTTACGCATTGCAATAAATAATGCGCTTTTAATCCATCATCAATCCTCAAACAATCAACGGTTCTTTCAAACCCCTGCCAAAATTCTGGCCATCTTAACTGATCGCCCCAGAACTCAGGGAGTCGTGTTTTTGGTAAATGACTAGGAACACCTAAATTAACAAAATTATCGTTTTTTATCTCATTTTCTGCTTCATTCCTTGTTCCATTCATAGCTTCATTCCTTACGTTGTTTCTTGGCCTAACCCCTATTTCATCAGAATACGAAGAACCTGAACTATCTTCATCGTTCGCTAAAAGTATTTCAATTTCGTCAACAATTTCTCTGCCTGAATCTATCCATTCAGCAATATGTCTTTCTCCCTCCGAGAAATTACTAAATATTTCTTCCTCAGCTGCCCTTTCGTCAGCTGGTAACGCTTTAATAATTTTCTGCCAATGATCAATTTTTAAATCCAAAAATGATAAAACACGCTTAACTTTAATCACATCGGCCCTTAATTTCTCAACCCCTTCTTGGGTTCTTTCCTGGGCATTTACCAACGGACGCAATTCGTCCAAATACTCTCTTAATCTTTTAATAGCAGGCTTTATTGTCGACCTTAAAACAACAGACATTTTTACAATTCCAAATTAAAATTAAAACTCAAGCAAGTCAAAAAATAACGATAAAGCTTCCCTACTTTATCAAAAAATAACGATAAGGCTTTCCTACCTTATCAAAACACCGATAAAGCTTCTCTACTATATCAAACAAAAAAAATAATCGGATTCCTTCCGATAAAAAATAAATTGGTCCTTTAAATAATACTCGTGACACCTTCTGTGCCTAAAAGTAAATTAATTTCGTGGCACCAATTGTGCCCAAAAATAAATTAAAATTGTCGTGGCACCAGTTGTGGAAAAGGAAAGGAAATATATACTTTCACCTACAATATATTTAACCCTTTTTCACCTTCTGTACTGAATCTAAATTCAGTAAGGAACAATAAAAAATAGAGAATTTCCCGGGTAAATTCTCAAAAATAAAGAATCAGATTTATTAAAATTTATTTCTTCCAAAGTAAAATTTAAAAACCAGAAAAAGCCCTTTTTTTTAGAGAGTAAAAATCTTATAAAGAATGGAAAGTAAAAAATTGAAGATGAAGATGATTTTTAGAAGGAAATGGATGATTGTTTTTGGACTTTTTCTTGTCTTTTTAAACAAACATTTTTAAGGCGGTTCAAAAATAAAAATAAACCAAAATTATTATTGTTTTATGATTAATCATTTTTTAAATTTTAAAAAATAAATTCTTTTCGTTGCATTCGCAACAGAAACTTCAACTTCCCCAATAAATTCAATTTGAGTTCCATCACTTGTATTTACTTTTGGTGAATTGATTAATTGTTTTGCCTTTTATTTTTTAATTAAATTTAAATTTATTTTTATTTAAATTTACCGTTATACCCATATTTTTAATTAATTTAGACCCACAAAAAGAATTTGAAAAGTTTGTTGCAATTATTGCTCGACATTTTTGGTCATTTAATTTTACAACAATTAATGTCATTTTATGAAATAAAAATTTAAAGATCTTTAAATTTTAATAAAAAATAATTTTTAAAAAAATATTTAAAATAAATTTAAAATAAATTTAAAAATCAAAAATGATATGTATGTGTATACAAACAAATGTTTGATTTTTTTCTTCTTAGCTGTGTGAGGGGGTATTTAAATAAAAACATTTTTATTTCTCTTTTTTAAATTATTTTTTTATAAATTTATTTACCAGCTGTTCAAAATTTTATTTTACTAATCCAGAAATATTTTTAAAAAATTCTTTAACTAAGATAACTAAAATGACAAATATTTAAAAGATTATTTTTGAAATTAAAATATTTTTTAAATTAAATCTACAGAAAAAACAAAAATCAACCTTCTCCAATTTTTCATATTTTCAACTCCAATAATGGAATATTTAAGAACAATAATATAGTAACAATATTTTTAATATCGCAAAATGTAAAAAATATTCGAGTAATATTTCATTAAAACTTACGGAAAATAAATTATTTTTGGAGTCTTTTTTCATTGAATTTTGGCCCGAAAAAGACTCGGTCGTGCCGGTCCGAAAAAATGACTCGAACGTCGGCCCGTCGGCACAACTCTTTATAAAAAAATATTTTGTTATTTCAAAATTAAAAAATTTGATATTTTATCGAATATTTGATTTTGCCGATCTGCACTTAACAAACACTCGTTATTTTTAAACAAATTTCCACGTAAAGTTCAAAATTGACTCTCGTAAAAGTGCATTAAAGTGCATTATTGGCATTATTGACAAAGAAATGCCGAGTAACAAGCACTTTATACATACATTAAAAAAGAGAAGAATCTACTATTTCATAATTATATCTAAAAAATGTCCATTTAACGATAAGGCAATTTAAATGTTAATATTTATATTTACTCCTCTAATTAATTAAAATTTAAATTTAAAAATAACAATTAAAATTAATGTTTAAAAAAATTTTATTAATTTTATTTTTAAATTTTTGTTTGGGAATTGATGTAAAATTAAAAATTATTGAAAATTATTTAGAAAGCAGACAATTTGATTATTTAATAAAAAATAATTTGGAACTTCCAAAATGTTTTTTGTGGTATAAAATTGATGAAAATAATGAAAATAAAATTTATGGAGAATTGGAAATACTAAATAATATTTATTTATTTAAAAATATTCAAAAAGAAATTATTTTTGAAAATAATGAATTTACACAATTTTGTTGTGAAATACAAAAACATCCAATTTTGATTGAAATAATTCCGTGGATACAAAAAGGGGTAAAACACTAGGGTTAGATAATTATTGCAGTAGAAGCCGTTTAGTAGTGCCGCTTGATGGTTTCTAAGCCCTAACGTGTTTCCGAATGATTCTGGAAAATCTTTTACCTTTTAAAATTTCAAATTTTTGATCGAAATTATCGTACTGCCATAAAACCTTTAATTAAACAAAAAACGGCGACATAAAATGAATAAAAGAAATATTGTTCAATCAAATATTAAAATTTTTTCGTTATAAAAATTTTTTGGCTGTAAAAGTGTGATTGAATGCGTAATCTGGACAAGAGCCAAATTTTTTTGTTTTAAAAAACAGACTTCTATTGTAATAATCTCTATTACTGTTATCCGAGTTACTGTTATTATTACAATTTTGGGGCTTTTTTACAAAAAATAATTTATTTTTATTTTTCTAGAAAATCTGTCGAAAATTATTTAATGAGGACGATATAAAATATAAAGATGGAGAATATCAACTTTCAATTTTGGGAAATATTATTATTCCCAGAGAATTGAAAATTAATGACCAGATTAGCGAAAATATAAATATTTTGAAGAGAATGTATTTGGAAAATAATTTCAAAGAAATTGATTTAAAAGCGAGAATTGTTGTTTTAAATAATAAAATGCCAGAAGTTCCGTTAAATGAGAAAATGGAATTATTGTCAGAAATTAAGAGAGAATATAATGAAATGATAGAAAATGGTTAATATTTACATATTCCGGGGTTAAATATTCCGGTTCCGAAGTTTCCAGCATATTAGCTACGGAGCTATCTCTCGGAGCTAGTTACTGTTATTCTGTTAACATATTTAATCGAGGATCGGACCGAACAAGTTTTGTTACTATCTAAATGCCAAGCTTCCTCCACTACAATTTCACTTCATTTTTAAAAAGTACATAATTTTAGGAAAATATATAATTCGTTTGGGTATAAATGAAGCAAATTGGTTATTGGTTGAAATTGCCTATCTTATACAAAGATTAGTTTATTACATCCACAATCGTAGGGGGAATATTCTGCAAGTTATTTATGGCTATACAACGAATAAATCTGTTTTACAAACAATTAATTTGTTAGCCAATAGATATAGCAAATTCAATGCTTTAAATGAAATTGGAAAAGAAAATTTGTTTAAAATTTTAGAAAAAGAAGGAAAAAATTTGCTGTCTTCAGGTAAATACCTAACCAATTTATTAAAATAATTATTTCTAAATTAAATTTTTTATATTAAAAATATTTAAATGTAATTTCGAATAATAGAAATTTAAACTTTAAGTTGGACGTGGCCCCGTCGGTTGTGCTGTATTTTGGGTCTTTTTCAGATGGTTGTATTCCAAACCTACTCCATCACTCTCCTTAAATTGAGAACTAAAATCTAATACTCTATAAAATTGTTTGGGCATATTTCTAAATAAAATTATAAACCAGGGAGTCCAGATTTAAGAAGCTAAGATTGTTATATCCTATGAATCAATCAAGTACAGTTATTGAAAAGTAAATAATAAAAGTACGCGGGATTTTAAGTTATTAAGAAGGTGTTTGGGAATTAACAGAGATGTCGAGGATTTAGGAGTATTGAGAGGGATATCGGGTAAATAAGAGGGATATCGAGAGAGGATTTTGAAAATAAGATAGAAAATACCAAAAATAACAATTTAGAAAAATTTTTGGAAGCGGGATGTTCGATTAACATACTTCTGAGATTTCCGCTTTTCTAGAATCCGGTGACGCGATCCCTGAAACATACATTCTATTTAAGATAAAAGTTTAGAAAATGGAGATATGTTTAAAAGTTTGATGACTTTATTAAATTTAATAACGTTATTGGAGATGTACAAACCATTATCACAAAAATTGGGATATTCTAATCGAGAATATGAAGAAAGAATTGAACTTATTAACAACAAAATTAGACAATGTATAAATGACCATAATGAATGTCTTAAACTTTCAAGAAAATATATTCGAAGCAAAATTAGAAAAATGGATGAATTTGAAATTAAATGGAATGAAATTATTAAAAAATTTGTTAAAAACAAAATTGATTTTGAGATTATTAAAGTTTCAATGTTGGAAAGTATTCAATACACTGGTGTTCATATTAAGGATTTTGAAGATTTGGAAAATAAAGGGAAGGGTTATAAATCAAAAACGTTGTCTGATGAGGTAAATTAGCATTATAACAATTTGTCTTTATTGTTGTAAACTATTTTTGTCTTTGTTCGGGTGGAGGTTGTTTCAATACGCGGAAAGACCGCCTTAACACCCTTGTGGAGCTCCGTATTTGGAACCGTTGACCATAGAGATGTGAGAAGAATTAATATTAGGCCCAACATAAATATAAAAATAAGTAATTTAAAAGAATATAAAATTGTTTGATATTTTAAGGAAAGAAGAAAAAGAGCTAAAGTTATCGAAATGTTTTACTATAAAAATAATAGAAATAAGTCAGCTATTGCACGTGAACTTGGAATTGAGATTTATACTGTTTGTGATATAATCAAGAAGTTTGAGGAGACGGGGACTATAGAAAACCGTCCAAGATAGAAGAGAGAGATTGTTATTAAAATATCTCTATATAATGCGAGTTTACACTCTGTTCCAAAATTATAATTGCACCCCTATTATTCTCAATATTTCATGTTCCAGTCAATTTTTTTAAAAGATTTTTTAAATTATCATATAGGGCCGAGGGATAAACAATATTTAATAATGAAATTGATTTTTTAATTTGAGGACGTTGAATTATTTAACTTTTTTTTGAAATAAGGGTGTTCCAAAATTATAACTGCACCTTTGCTTTATAGGTTCTAATATTGGGAAAAATCTACAAAAAACTATTAGAACCTATAAAGCAAAGGTGCAGTTATAATTTTGGAACAGAGCTTAAAAATTACCGTAAATTTTAAAAATTTATTAAAGAAGAAAGCGAATTTATATTATTTTTTAAAAAAACTTATTAAGATTGAAATAAAAAAGATTTATTAAAAAACAGTAAAATCTATACAAAATAATTTTTCTGTTAATTAAAAATATGGGTTGATAAGTTATTATCCAAATATTTAAATGAACAGAAAAATTATTTTGTACACAATTATTTTCCATTGATAATTTATTAAATTTTGTTATTAAGCCAGACTATTCTCTTTTGTATGTACATTTAAATAAAAATTTCCCTACCTATTTCTCCTTTTTGAATATTTTTTATAAATTTATTTATTAACTGTTTAAACTATTATTTGCCAATTAACAAATATTGCAATTGAGACAGATATACATAGTACATATTTAAAAAAGGACTCTGCTCTCAAATTTTTAAAAATCCGCAATTTTGAGTTAAAAAATCCAATCCATCAAAAAGCTATTTAAATGATTATCAAACACAAAAATTGAAGTTATCTCTAAATTAAAAATATTTCTTTTTTTATTTGAATTAATTTCTAATTGTAAATCATTAAATGAGGAGTCTTTTAAATTTGTGTCGGAAGAGGATTGAATCTAAAAATTAAAAAAAAATATTTTTGAAAAGGCTTTTTAAAAGATTACTTTTTGAATTTTTAATTTTCCATTTGTTGCTTTATCCAAAATTTCAAAATAATTACATAAATGGGAATTACAAATACAATAAACAGATTTTTGAATTCCAGAAATAGGTATTTAAATAAAAATTGGGAAAAATAAATTATTTCTGGAGTCTTTACAAATAAATATTTTGTTACTTCAAAATTAAAAAATTTGATATTTTATCGA